AGTGCTGAGAGGAAAGTTCATAGCACTAAGTGCCCACATGAAGAAACTGGAGAACCATCACACTAGAGAATTAATAGCACAACTGAATGCTCTAGAACAAAAAGAAGCAAACTCACTCAGGAGGAGTAGATGCCAAGAAATAATCAAATTGAGGACTGAAATCAATCAAGTAGAAATCAGGAAAACATAGCAAAAAAAAATCAATGAAACAAAGAGTTGGTTCTTTGAGAAAATCAGTAAGACAGACAAACCTTTGTACAAACTAACCAAAAGGCAGAGAGAGAGATCACGCTCATTAACAAAATCAGAAATGAAATGGGGGACATAACAACGGACACTGAGGAAATCCAGAGAATCATCAGGACATAATTTGAAAACCTGCACTCCACAAAATTCAAAAATTTAAAAGAAATGGACAATTTCCTGGATAGATATCACGTGCCAAAACTAAATCAAGAACAGATAAACAATCTAAACAAACCTATAACCCTTAATGAAATAGAAGCAGTCATCAAAAGTCTCCCAACCAAAAAAAGCCCAGGCCCAGACGGCTTCAGTGCAGAATTCTACCAGAAATTCAAAGAAGAGCTAATTCCAATACTCCTCAAAGTGTTCCACATAATAGAAGCAGGAGGCTCATTGCCACTCTTTTTATCAGGTTACAATTACCTTGGGTCCTAAGCCACACAAAGATACAACTAAGAAAGAGAACTAAAGACCAATTTCCCTCATGAACATCAATGCAAAAATACTCAATAAAATACTAGCAAATCGAATCCAAGAACACATCAGAAAACTCATCCACCATGATCAAGTAGGCTTCATCCCAGGGATGCAGGGATGGTCCAACATAGGAAAATCTATCAATGTAATCCACCATATAAACAAACTGCAAAAGAAAAAAAAACACATGATTATCTCACTAGATGCTGAAGAAGTCTTTGACAAAATTCAACACCCCTTCATGATAAAGGCCCTAGAGAGATCAGGGATAACAGGAACATACCTGAACACAATAAAAGCAATATACAGTAAACCAACAGCTAACATCAAACTAAATGGAGAGAAACTCAACACAATTCCTCTAAAATCAGGAGCAAGACAAGGCTGTCCACTCTCTCCATATCTCTTCAATATTGTACTTGAACTTTTAGCTAGAGCAATGAGACAACAAAGGAGATCAAGGGGATACAAATAGGAAAACAAGAAGTCAAACTTTCACTATTTGCAGATGATATGATAGTTTACGTAAGTGACCTGAAAAACTCTGCAAGGGAACTTCTAGAGCAGATAAACACCTTCAGCAAAGTGGCAGGATACAAGGTTAACTCAAAAAAATCTTTAGCCCTACTATATACAGATGATAAAGTGTCTGAAAAAGAAATCAGAGAAACATCCCCCTTTACAATAGCCATAAACAGCATCAAATATCTTGGGATAACATTAACCAAAGAAGTGAAAGACCTGTATATCAATAACTTTGAGTCTCTAAAGAAAGAAATCAAAGAGGATACCAGAAAATGGAAAGATCTCCCATGTTCTTGGATTGGTAGGATCAACATAGTAAAAATGGCAATCTTGCCAAAAGCAATCTACAGATTCAATACAATCCCTATCAAACTACCAGCACAATTCTTCACAGACCTTGAAAGAACAATAATCAACTTTATATGGAAAAACAAAAGATCCAGGATAACCAAAAAAACCCTATACAATAAAGGAACTTCAGGAGGCATCACCATCCCTAACTTCAAGCTCTATTATAGAGCTATAGTCCGGAAAACAGCTTGGTTTGGCACAAAAATAGACAGGTAAACCAATGGAATTGAAAACCCTGATTTTAACCCACACCTATGAACACTTGTTTTGTTTTTAAATTTTTTTAAGTTTAAATTTAGATTAGAAACATGGTTAGTTCACAAGTCAGTTCCAGGTCCCTCTCCCTTTCCCTCCCCTCCTCCTGTGCCCTCCCCCCAACTCCCCCATTATCCCCTCATTTCCCCAGGGAGGGTGAGGCCCTTCATGGGGGTGTCCATAGACTGTCATTTCATCCAGGGCAAGGCCTAGACCCTCCCCCCCAAGAGTTCAGGGTGAGAGTTCATCTCACATTGTTGGATGTGAGTCCAAAGTCCATGTGTATACTCGTGATGAATACTGATCTACTGCCCAAGGCTCAATAGATTACCTAGGCCTCCTCACTGACACCCCCATTCAGGGGGTCTTGATCAGTCACATGTTGGATTCCCAGGCATCAGCCTGGGATTCAAGAGTTAACCCTTGTCAGGTCAGCTGTTTCTGGGGTTAAACCAGCCCAGTCTTAACTCCTTTGGTCATCAGTCCTCCCTCTGTTACCGGCTTTCTTGAGTTCAGCTCAGTACTTAACCATGGGAGTCTGCCTCTGCTTCCATCAGCCACTGAATGAAGGTTCTGTTTCCCAGACTCTCTGGCCATGGGATTGTAGGCTGGCATTCCCCAGATCTATGTCTAAATTCCATATATGAGAGAGTACATGCCATGTTTCTCTTTTTGTGACTGTGTTACCTCACTCAGGATGGTTTCTTCTAGTGTCATCCATTTGCCTGCAAATCTCAGGATTCCATTGTTTTTTTCTGCTGAATAGTACTCCATTGTGTAAATGTACCACATTTTCTCTATCCACTCTTCGGTTGAGGGCCATCTAGGTTGCTTCCAAGTTCTGGCTATTACAAATAATGCTGCTATGAACATAGTAGAACAGACATCCTTCTTGTATGAATGGGCATCTTTTGGATATATGCCTAAGAGTGGAGTTACTAAAATCAAAAACACCAATGACAGTTTATGCTGGAGAGGATGTGGAGAGAGGGGAACACTCCTCCACTGTTGGTGGGAGTCCAACTCATACAACCACTTTGGAAATCAGTATGGAGATTTCTCAGGAAAAATGGGAATCAATCTACCACAAGACCCAGCAATTCCACTCTTAGGCATATATCCAAAAGATGAAAATTCATCCAACAAGGACATCTGTTATAGTATGTTCATAGCAGCATTATTTGTAACAGCCAGAACCTGGAAGCAACCTAGATGCCCCTCAACTAAAGAGTGGATAGAGAAAATGTGGTACCTTTACACAATGGAGTACTACTCAGTGGAAAAAAACAACAACAATGGAATCTTGAAATTTGCAGGCAAATGGATGACACTAGAAGAAACCATCCTGAGTGAGGTAACCTAGTCACAAAAAGACAAGCATGGTATGTACTCACTGATATATGGATTTTAGACATAGATCAGGGGGAGTGTCAGTCTGCAATTCCACTGACAGAAAGTCTGGGACACAGGAAAGAATCTAAGAGAGATATTCATGGTAACCCAGAGAAGAGGAATGAATGAGGCAAGATCTCCTGAACAAATTGGGAACACAGCAGGGGTGGGGTGGGGGGGATGAGCTGGGAAGAAGAGAGGGGGAGAAGAGGAGAGTCATGGGGGAACAGGAAGGTTGAGTGGGGGGGGTAGAATAGGGGGAGAACAGGGTGAGAAATACCATAATAGAGGGAGTCATAGGTTAGAAGAGATATTTGGCACCAGTGAGACCTCTAGCGATCTACAAGGATGACACCAATGGGCAAGCTATGCAATAGTGGACAGACTACCCTAAATGCCCATTTGTGATAATAAACTTGACTATTACCTTATATGCCATCCTAGAACCTTCGTCCAGTGACTGATGGAAACAGAGGCAGACACCCACAACTAAACACTGAATTGAACCCCTGGAACCCAGTGACAGAGAGAATGGAGTGATAAGCAAATGGGCAAAGAATGGGCTGGCAAAACCAGCAGAGACAGCTGATCTGAACAAGGGGGAGCTCTTGGACTGAGGGGGAGCTCTTGGACCCCGGACCGACAGCTGGGAAGGTCAGCATGAGACTGATCCGGACCCCCTGAGTGTGAGAGTTGGTGAGGAGGCCTGGGCAACCTGTGGGGCCCTGGGCAGTGGGTCAGTGTTTGTCCCTGGCATACAGATGGACTTCATGTGTCCATAACACAAAGAGGGATACTCTTTCAGCCTGAACTCTTAGGGGAGGGCCTGGACCCTGCCCTGAGCGAGGTGACAGACTCTGGATATCCCCTGTGTGGAAGGAGTTGGGAATGGGGTGGGAGACTGGGAGGGATGGTAGGGGGGTGTGGGAGGAGAGAAGAGAGAGGGAGCTGGGATTGACATGTGAAGCAAGCTCTTTACTAAAAAAAAAAAAATGTAATAAATTTTTTTCTTAAAAAAAAAAGTAAAAGAAATTAGCAAAAAAATAAAACAAATAGACTTCATACAAATTCATCAGTGCTAGAAGAAAATAATTTTACTTCTTGCTACAACTTAGAAGCCTAGGAGAAAGCAGCACAGGGAGATTCCTAGAACATGGTTCTCAACTGCAGAGTGAAGGAAAGGGCGGTCTGGGGACTCAGGGCAGTTACAGTGTGATGCTCTCTCCCAACCCCAACTCACTGAAGTTGGAAATTCCCATCACAGTATGGCAAACATCATTGAAATAAACTGGAAACAGAAACCAACACTGAGAACCAGTCAGTTCATCCAAGAAAATCCATTTTGGGTGATTTAGGGCAAGGAAAATTGTGAACAATTTTTATGTTTCTTTTTCTAACATTATCATTAAATCAACGTACTACAATTAGAAACTTGAACATTACGGTTGATATTATTTATTAGGTACATGATCATTTTTGATATTTTCACACTTAAAAACTGCATTTAAATTTGTATTAAACATATAGCCTCTTTTACTTGCTTAAGAAAAATAAGAATTCTTATGCCTATCTCCTTTTCCTTTGTTGAGACAAGGCTCTCTACACAGCTCAGCCTGGTGTGGAACTCATTATTTACTAAAGAGTTACTCAAGTTTCCGAATGTTAGCATTATTGGTAGACACCACAGCCTCAGCCTTTGTTTTTCAATACATTCAATTTGGGGTGATAAATAACAGAAAACAAAGTACCACATGTTTCTGAAAGCTAGAAGAATTTTATTCTAAGTCATACATAAAGCAATTTAGTTGTTCTGCGAAGCTGATCCACATTTAAGATGAAGTAAACAATAACAAAAATAAAACCCTCAACATCAATGACAAGGGTAACAATGTATTACTAAAAAGTTTAACAAGGTTAATCAAATATAAAACTTAAATTTTCCTACAGTCAAAGTTTTATTCACAGGGAACTCATAGGTTAGATGCTTTGCTGAAAAACGTTTTTGAAAAGGTAAAATATTAAAATAATTGTTCTTTTCCTTGTTTCCATTATAAAGTATATCTCTGTAGGTTTCATCTGAAGAAAAATGTCACAACTTGAAGAGGATCCACAAAGAGGGAAGGGAAGGTGGGAATAAGTCACTGAGGGCACACTCAGTTTCACTTCTCCTATGACATGTGAGTAGAAAGCGCAAACCAGCCTTCTTCATTTTGCTTTTCAGTCTGTCCAACAGAGACACAGAGAGGAGTTAGACATGAGCCCACTAGAGAGAGATTCTCAGACATGCAGACCAAGTACATTCACAAAGTCACCATGTGTGTTAACTGGCACTGGAGTGTCATCTCTCCTGGCAGGACCCCACGGAGATTCTCAGCAGGTGTTCTAGAAAGAGCCCTACCCTTCAAAGGGAGAAATCCAACATTTATTCAAACCGCAAGGACAATTTTAAACCCCATGAAAGGAAGGTTATTGGAGTCGTAGGTATATCAAAAGATAACTTTAAGCTTTTCAGAATTTACGAATCAGAAAGGACAAAATTTTAATTCTAGGCAACTGGAGTAGCTAACTAAGGCAGTTAGTTCATTTGGGCTGTGTGTCTCCACTCCATGATCTGATGATTTCCCCATATCTGTTACTGGCTTACCTCTGGAAAACAACTTTTACAATTCTAAGGATATTCTTACAATTTTCTATGACAAACAGAGAGAAACTATATTTTTCTGTAATATCAACACACATCAAAATGTCTTCTGTGAAAAATCTGAACAAACTGTGAATGTTTAGCTTCCAGACAGTTCTGGAGCAAACCAGAACATATGAAAATGTACAAGGCATTCATTTACCCTCTGTGTTATCTATCACCTATTTAACAGAAGCACCTTAGACATGCCACACTGGGATAAAAGTACCAGACCAGGTCTCTGGCGATCCCAACTTTACCCAGTCACACTACCAACAGTAGGACCAACAACTCCTGTCTATAAGCCACTAAAGACCATGGCACTTGGGAAGCAGGCCTGAAACCAGTATTTCCTAGTCTTGGACAACATTTGGAATCCTATCAAATTTTAACTTATTACTTCATTACCCTAGAAGACAAAATAAATGTATTGTTCTTCAAACTGAGATAAAATATAGTATTTCTTTTAAAGACAAGAATAGTAACTAAGAAGAAAGTTAGTTACCCTCCACCCCCACACTCTTGACCCTACGTAGTGACTATATTTTATAACGTACCTTTGTTCTTGGATTAACAGGTGTGAATCGCCCACTTCCCGAGGTGGCATTTAGTGGAGAACAAGAATTACTAGCAGCCCCTGAAGATCTATCCGTGAGAAATGAGATCTATCAGAGAGTGAGGCATTACCACTAGCCATCAACAACTTGGAAACAGCTCTCAAAAATGGCAAGAGCTTGAAAAGGTCTGGTGAGAGGTTCAAATGAGGTAAATCACTCATAACATTTCACCAACATAAAATTTAAAACTGGTAGTTTACTACTTGGAATAGTTTAGCTTTAAAGACAGAGTGGACAGTACAGTGTTCTCAGGTACTCTCTGTCTCTAACAGTTTCTCCTATTACTAACATCTTGATGGGACACATTACAATTGACTACTCAATGCTGACTTGCTATTAACAGAAGTCTAATTTCCTTCAGGGTTCTCTTTGTGTGACAGACACATTCTGTGGATTTTGACAGGTAACTGCACATGATCCATATAATATCATTTGGGTTAGATTTAAAGGCTGGGCAGTAGTGGGGAAGGTGGTCAGGGCAGCCTTGGTACGATGAGAACTGGAGCCGTGTGGTATAATACGAGGATGCTGGGTGCGACAGAAAAGCTGGGCAACAAACCCCTTCCTGACCACTCAATGTGGCTCATCTAGGTCAATCAGTCGTGTTCACTTATTGCAATGGGTGAAGTGCTACTAGTCAATGTACCTACCCTAGGATATATTTTTGTAGCCATAAATATATAAAGTTCAACCCACCAGGCGGTGGTGGCGCACGCCTTTAATCCCAGTACTCAGGAGGCAGAGGCAGGCGGATCTCTGTGAGTTCGAGGCCAGCCTGGTCTACAAGAGCTAGTTCCAGGACAGCCTCCAAAGCCACAAAGAAACCCTGTCTCAATAAATAAATAAATAAATAAATAAACAAATAAATAAATAAGCCCGCTTTTGTTTTAAGCAGGTAACCTTACTTGGCTAAGCTTATCCACCTTATTCTCCCCCAGTTACTTTCTCTGTGTGAGTGAATCTGAACTTAACAGATGTTGGGCACAGAGAGAACAGCACATAGACACTCTTGATATTTTAATAACAGCAGGCCTACCTTCTTGAACTGATCCCACTGACAGGAGAGACGGTATTGCATTTCGAATTCTCTGAAGCCTCCACTCCTGGAATAGACACCTCGATGGTTCTCTTTCCTTCTTCTAAAATATAAAAATAAATGTTAGTTTCATATTACTTTTCACTAATAAAAGTAACAATTTTGCTCAATTTCAATATCACTGGAAATTATATACTACAAATTTAGGTGTTTTTATATTTTTACCACAATGGTTCATAGAAACACTTGAGAGATGATTATTAAAAATAAACTGTTAAGACAAGAAACTTCAGCTGGTTCTGTCAATTTGGCAGCACGCCAGTTCACAGAACACCAGAATCATCTGACAAGTACTGTCACACAGAGCAAAAAGTGAGAAACAGTGAGCCCTAAGATGTATCAGAGAGCAGGAAGGTGGGTGGAGGGAAGGAATGAGTGAGGGTAAACACGGTTAAGATGCATGTCTTTGTGAGTGTCAAAGAATACAAAAATTAAAAAACTAAAAAGAGCTAGCCCAAAAGTTTGCTTTTTCAATTTGATTAAATAGGATTCCATTTTCCCTTATAGCCATGAAATCTCTACATTTTAGGAAGGATTTACAGGATCCTCTATGAATATGATGAATATAAAAGTATTTCACTGGTAAATGTTTGCCTATTTACAAAACTCTGAGATTTCACTGAGATTAGACTTTGTTTTGGCCATATGAGAATCCATGCCTGGTACTATAAACCTGATCACACAGCTCCATGGCTGGGGAGATCACAGGCAATGGGTAGAAAGGCTTACTACTGTTGCCTGACCGAACTGTTATGTCAAGTTGCCTTCTACGTATCTCTGCTTACAGCCTCAGAGCGATGCCACTCTCACCTTATTCAGAGCAGCTTGGCTCTGCAGTGGGCAGTGGTGAACGCAGACTCTTGGCTGGTCATAGTGCTGAGAGTAAGAGATGGAGGAGCACTCAGCTCTCAACAGGACAGTTACACCCTCCTCTAAGGCTCGGGACATCATGGAAAGGGGGCAGAATGAATATATAGCAGGGTTGTCTTCCGGGCGTGACCCAGCCACTGACATCATGAATCACAGCAGCTGTGGTTGCCTATCCTGGGCTTGCACAAAGGTGGGTGTGTCAATGGCCTGTCATGGAGTGTGAAGGAACTTGTGGAGCCATAACCCTGTCTGTTGAACTACTGGCTAATGCTGGAGGGGGGGGGTGTCACTATCTTTAGTTATGAACACTATCTCAGGCCCTATGGGATAGTAGCAAATCCATGGCCATTCAGACCACCCTTAAAATTGGTGGGTCACATAGTTATGTGTATTGGAAAGAGACCTGTAGCAGCAGGATGATGGGTGTGACACACAAAAGTGGAGGGTGAGATGAACCTCCACTGTTATAAAGATCTGTTTTCTTGACGAATTGTTTATTCTTATTTTTACTAAACCCCACAGAGGTTCCTATAAAACCAAGAGTTCTATTTTGGGTGTGTTGAGTATTAGATGGGATAACAGAAATAAAGGTAATTTCCAAGCATCTGCTTTCTTATTTGTAACTTCAAAAACTAAATCCCAACAGAAATGAAAACTCTCCCTGGTGTCCTTCGGTACCTGACTTCACCCAAACACACAGGACACATGGATCCCTGTAAGCACCAAGGCTTGAACACCTCAGGGACACCACTAATAGAGCCTTAGAGTTCCTCACAACCCAGGCCTCCAACGAGGCTCCAGTCAACACCCCCACTGTAGCACCATCCTTGAGGGCGTAAGTTCATTTCTGAACAGCTGACATAGAGCTACTTCGTTTAATCAGCACTCCTTGAGCGGAACTACTATAAAACAAATTCTTCAGTCACAATTCAATTATTTAAGAGGCCCCTCTAGGTTTCGCAACAAGATAACTGAAAAAATTAATTGAGGGGAAATTTTTTCCTGGTTTTAAGAGAACATAAAATTTATAGTCTAATTTTGCCCCTTGTACTTTTGGCAGCATATCTGTGAGACATGTACTGTAATGAATATTTCATTTGGATGGGGTTGCCCTGGATGCCAAAGACTGACTATACAAGAGAGCGCAGTGCAGCACTATTCCTGTCATTTATTCTCTGACCCAAGTCAGTTTCCTCTAGTCCAGAATTGGGAGCACTGGAACACAATATGCACTGAGGTTCTTTCACCCACTATCAACTTTCAAAACTGACAGTGAAAAGTATATCTACTTGTACATCGTGAATCTGACCCACCGGCCCATGCTCTGAGAGGCGACTGAACAGGTGACACTGGGGATGAGGAAAGGTTCAAACCAACAAGTTTCTGCTGCTCTATCAGCTGGAGCAGTTTGCTGCGAGCCTCCATGCTCTGTCGGTTCAACTCTGCAATCCGTTCCTCCATACTACTTGGTGCTACAGATTGAACTACTGGAAAAGACTTCAGGGGAAAAAAGAACATAAAAATTTCATTATTAAAAAAAGGTACCCAATCCTGATTTTTATTCTAAGTACAGAAATTTGATATTTATAAGCCTTGCTATATATACATATGAATGATGGGGTAAAATAGCTTATAAATCATTTAATTGAACAATTAGCACTAAAATAAAGGCATACACAAATTCTTCTGCTGCTACTGCCGCATGCACACAGTCTAAAGGGACAGTGCTTTCTTACATTTTACTATTTGCTTCACGTAAGGAAAGACACCTGCCAATGAGCCTAATCCCACATCCCTACAGATGACAGATCTGAGTGGGGGCAGACTACACAGGAATATCTCTGAGTCTGAAAGCAAGGCTTTATAAGTCAGTCTTCAAACAAACATTATGAATTATCTGGCAGAGACTATAAAAATCCTACCAGTCCTCGGTCCATGTGTCAGCCCCTCCAGGCTGCTTTTATAAAAGACTGACTTAAGAATATCTGTGATTAGAAAGGAGCTAAGATACAGAGAGTAAAGGTCAAACAATAAAGCAAAAAGTTACAGAGATATAAAGTAAGTTTAGTGAGAAAACCCCCAAGAGAAATGTACTTTCATCATTCATAAGAATTTCATTTATCTAAATATATTCCTTTGTGGGGGAAAACCAATTCCTGGTAGAAATGACTAATTTGAAACAAATACCTATTAGGTCGTGTGGGCTTTTTTTTGTTTTCTAGAATACAGTAAGTAAACCAGTAAAGATCAAAGTCTATTTTGTATTCCCAATTAAAAAAGAAAGGGGCTAGTAAGGGCAGCAGTATTAGACCTCCCTTTCCAGGCTGGCACATGTACTATTTAGAAAGGACATAGGCTCAGCATTTAACCATTACCTTTCTAAAAGCAACCGTAACCTGTTTTCAAATGATCTTCAAAACTCTACAAACGCATAACATGATGTGCAAACACAGGTAGGTAGGCTTGCATTGGTGCTGCTGCCCACTGGCAACGCTCCTTCCTGGCTTGCCCTCTTGAATGAATGATAACAGAGGCAGCTCCAACTCCCACCTCCCACTTTCCTCACTGAAACCTTCAATCAGAATTTCAAAGCTCTTAGGACCTCAGAAACCCCTAGTCCCTGAGGCTGCCCACTCCTACCCACTGTCAGATCCACAGGAGTCACCTTTGCTCAAAAAGGGGCAAATAAAATATCTCCCATGCCACAGGCACTCCCGTTTGAGACTTAGATTCACTTTTCTCTCCACAAACAATGAAATAAAGGTTTAAGTTACCAGATTAGTCCATAGAGTTTATTATACTTATAAAATTTCGTTGTTGACAAAAACACAAATCCACATGATCTTATTCTTGTAGAAATTTTACAAAAGCTGAACTCATAGAAGCTGCGAGTGGATTAGTAATTACCGGAGCTGGGGGAAGGCAGCAAGAAGGGACAGGGAGCTCTCCGGAATCTCCTGGACTGGGAACTGCAGCAAGCTCGACTCACCCCCGGAGGACCGAGCTACCAGGAGGCTGCTGAGAGAGCCTGCCTACGCCCTTCCCCACCCAGGACGGAGGGCAGAATGCAGAGGGCGGAGCTCCCACCCACCAGGAAAGGGAATATCTGAGACCCATGTGCACCCACCGAGAGATCCATCAGTGAACTGGACCGGCTTGCACCCACTGGAAGAGAACCAGGAAAGGAAGAGACCCTATCTGTACCACTGAAAGAGAATGGGAAGACAACAATACAAGGACAACAGAAAAAACAATATGATGCCACCAGAGTCTAGGGACCCTACACCAACAAGATCTGAACATCACAACACAGATGAAACAGAAGAGAATGACCTAAAAGCCAACTTCATGAAGATGATAGAGACCCTAAAGGAAGAAATGAGAAAATCTTTTAAAGAAATGAAAGAAAAGACAAACCAAAAATTACAAGAAACAATTCAAACAGGGCAAGGTTTGAAAGCTGAAATAGAGACAATAACACACACACACACACACACACACACACATTCTGAAGGAATGCTGGAACTAGAAAAGGTGAGTAAACGATCTGGAACTACAGATGCAAGCATAACCAACAGAATACAGGAGTTAGAAGACAGAATCTCAGGCATTGAAGATTCACTGGGAGAAATAGATTCATCGACCAAAGAAAATCTGAAGACCAACAAATCCCTAACACAAAATATCCAGGAAATATGGGACACCATGAAAAGACCAAATCAAAGAATAATAGGTATAGAAGAAGGTGAAGAAACCCAGCTCAAAGGTACAGAAAACATATTCAACAAAATCATAGAAGAAAACTTTCCCAACCTAAAGAAAGACTTGCCAATGAAAGTAAAAAAAGCCTACAGAACACTAAATAGAGTGGACCACCAAAAGAAGTCCCCTTGCCACATAATAGTAAAACCCCCAAACATACAAAATAAAGGAAGAATATTAAGAGCAGCAAAGGAAAAAGGCCAATAACATACAAAGGCAAACCTATCAGAATCACACCTGACTTCTCCATGGAAACTTTGAAAGCCAGAAGGTCCTGGATAGATATTCTACCAACACTAAGAGACCATGAATGCCAGCCCAGACTACTATACCAAGAAAAGCTTTCAATCCCTATAGATGGAGAAAACAAGATATTCCACGACAAAATCAGAGTTAAACAATACAAATCCAGCCCTACAGAAAGTACTGGAAGGAAAACTTCAATCTAAGGAAGGTAACTATGCTCACAAAAACATAGGAAATAGATAATCCAACTTTACCAAAAGACAAAAGAAAAAGAGGGGTAAATCCACAATTACACAACCAACAACAAATCAAAAACAAACAAGAATTAACACTCAATGGTCCTTAATTTCCCTCAATATTAATGGTCTTAATTTACCTATAAAAAGACACAGGCTAACAGAATGGATACGAAGACAGAATCCATCCTCCTGCTGCATACAAGAAACACACCTCAACTTCAAAGACAGACATTACCTCAGAGTAAAGGGTTGGGTTAAGATTTTCCAATCAAATGGATCCAAGAAACAAGCTGGTGTAGCTATCCTAGTATCAAACAAATTAGACTTCAAGCTAAAATCAATCAAAAGAGATGAAGAAGGTCATTTCATATTCATCACAGGAAAAATCCATCAGGATGAAATCTCAATTCTGAACATCTATGCCCCAATACAAGGGCTCCCATGTTCGTAAAAGCAACACTAATAAAACCCAAAACACACATAAGACCTCACACAGTTATAGTGGGAGACTTCAACACCCCACTCTCACCACTAGACAGGACCACCAGACAGAAACTCAACAAAGAAACAGACATCTATAGAACATTCCATCCAAATAAAAAAGAATATACCTTCTTCTCAGTGCCACATGGGACCTTCTCTAAAATCGACCACATACTTGGCAACATAGCAAACCTCAACAGGTACAAAAAAAAAATAATAATAACTGGAATAATTCCCTGTACCTTATTGGACCACCATGCTTTAAAGTTAGAATTCAACAACAACACAAATTGCAAAAACCCTACAAACTCATGGAAATTGAACAACGTGCAATTGCACCATTCCTGGGTCAACGAAGAAATAAAGACAGAAATAAAGACTTCCTGAAATTCAATGAGAATGAAAACACAACATACCCAAACTTATGGGACACTTTGAAGGCAGTACTTAAGAGGAAAGTTCATAATACTAAGTGCACATATGAAAAAACTGGAGAATAGTCATATTAGAGAATTAACAGCACAACTGAAAACTCTGGAACAAAAAGAAGCAAACTCTCCCAGGAGTAGATGCCAGGAAATAATCAAATTGAGTGCTAAAATCAATAAAGTTGAAACAAAGAAAACAATACAAAGAATCAATGTAACAAAGAGTTGGTTCTTCAAGAAAATCAACAAGATAGACAAGCTTCTGTCCAAACTAACTAAAAGGCAGAGAGAGAACATGCAAATCAACAAAATCAAGAATGAAAAGGGGGCCACAAGGACAGACACTGAGAGAATCTTCAGGTCATACTTTGAAAATCTGTACTCCACAAAATTCGAAAATATAAAGGAAATGGACAATTTTTTGGATAGATATCACTTATCAAAATTAAATCAAGAGCAGATAAGCAATCTAAACAGAACTATATAACCCCTAATGAAGCAGAAGCAGTCATCAAAAGTCTCCCAACCAAAAAAAGCCCAGGTCCAGATGGCTTCAGTGCAGAATTCTACCAGAAATTCAAAGAAGAGCTAATTCCAATACTCTTCAAAATGTTCCACACAATAGAATCAGGAGGTTCATTGCCAAACTCTTTTTTACAAAGCTACAATTATCTTGATACCCAAACCACATAAAGACACAAGTAAGAAACAGAACTACAGACCAATCTCCCTCACGAACATTGATGCAAAAATACTCAATAAAATACTAGCAAATTGAATCCAAGAACACATCAGAAAACTCATCCACCATGATCAAGTAGGCTTCGTCCCAGGGATGCAGGGATGGTTCAATACATGAAAATCTATCAATGTAATCCACCATATAAACAAACTGCAAAAGAAAAACCATTTGATCATCTCACTTGATGCGGAAAAAGCCTTTGAAAAAAATCCAACACCCCTTCATGATAAAGGTCCTAGACAGATCAGGGATAATAGGAACATACCTGAACATAATAAAAGCAATATACAGTAAACCAACAGCTAACATCAAACTAAATTGAGAGAAACTCAATGCAATTCCTCTAAAATCAGGAACAAGACAAGGCTGTCTTCTCTCTCCATATCTCTTCAATATTGAACTTGAACTTCTAGCTAGAGCAATGAGACAAGAAAAGGAGATCAAGGGGATCCAAACTGGAAAGGAAGAATTCAAACTTTCACTATTTGCAGATGATATGATAATTTACATAAGTGACCAGAAAAACTCTGCAAGGGAACTCCTACAGCTGATAAGCACCTTCAGCAACATGGCAGGATAAAGGTTAACTCAAAAAAATCAGTAGCCCTATTATATACAGATGATAAATGGGCTGAGAAAGAAATCACAGAAACATCAACCTTTACAATAGCCCCAAACAACATAAAATATTTGGGGATAACCCTAATAAAACAAGTGAAAGACCTGTACAACAAGAACTTTGAGTCTTTAAAGAAAGAAATTAAAGAAGACACCAGAAAATGGAAAGATCTCCCATGCTCTTAAATTGGTAGGATCAACAAAATAAAAATGGCCATCTTGCCAAAAGCAATCTACAGATTCAATACAATCCCCATCAAACTACCGGCACAATTCTTCACAGACCTTGAAAGAACAATAATCAACTTTATGGAAAAAGAAAAGACCCAGAATAGCCAAAACAAATATGTACAATAAAGGAACTTCTGGAGGTATCACCATTCTTGACTTCAAGCACTATTATAGAGCTATAGTCCTGAAAACAGCTTGGTATTGGCACAAAAATAGACAGGTAGACCAACGGAATCAAATTGAAAACCCTGATACTAACCCACACACCTACAAACACTTGATTTTTGACAAAGAAGCTAAAATTATACATCGGAAAAAAAGAAAGCATCTTCAACAAATGGTGCTGGCATAACTGGATGCTGACATGTAGAAGACTGCAGATGGATCCATGTCTATCGTCATGCACAAAACTTAAGTCCAAATGGATCAAAGACCTTAACATAAATCCAGCCACACTGAACCTCTGAGAAGAGAAAGTGGGAAGTACCCTTGAAGGAATTGGTACAGGAGACTGCTTCCTGAACATAACACCAGTAGCAGAGACACTGAGACTGAGAATTAATAAATGGGACCTCCTGAAACGGAGAAGCTTCTGTAAGGCAAAGGACACAGTCAACAGGAAAAAAAAAAAAGGCAGTCCACAGAATGGGAAAATGTAACCTATAGTTTTCCTCCACCAGCCACTTTGGTTTCTCCCCGTCAACCACATGGGCTCTGCCACAGTTTCAGTACCCAAATAACACACAGGAGGCTATATTAATTATGAAGCTGTTGGCTGTTTGCTTGGTTTCTTACTGGCTATCTCTGACTTAAGTATCTACCCCATAATTGTAAATCTAAGTATTTCTCTTACCGGAGAAAGGGTCCGGACCTGTTACTTCTACGGCGGCTACATGATGTCTCCCTGTGCTTCTCTTTCCCAGAACCCTCCTCGACTCCTAGTCCCACCTATCTTGATTCCCTATTGGCCAACAGTGCTTTATTCAACAACCAATAAGAGACAGATTTACAGAATGGCAACTCCCATCAGGAAAAGAAATTCACTAACCCCACATCTGGCAGAGGACTGATCTCCAAAATTTACAAAGATCTCAAGAAGCAAGTCTCCAAAACACCAAAGGATCCAATTAAAAAGTGGGCACAGAACTAAATAGAGAATTTCTCAATACAGGAGTTTAAAATGGCTGAGAAACACTTGAGAAAATGCTCAACATCCTTAGCCATCAGGGAAATGCAAATCAAAACAACTCTGAGATACCATCTTACTCCTGTCAGAATGGCTAAAATCAAAAACACCAATGACAATTTATGCTGGAGAGGATGTGGAGAGAGGGGAACACTCCTCCACTGCTGGTGGGAGTGCCAACTCATACAGACACTTTGGAAATCTGTATAGAGATTCCTTGGAAAAATGGGAACCAGTCTACTACAAGACCCAGCAATTCCACTCTTAGGTGTATACCCAAAAGGTGCACATTCATACAACAAGGACATCTGTTCAACTATGTTCATAGCAGCATTATTTGTAATAGCCAGAACCTGGAAACAACCTAGGTGTCCCTCAACTGAAGAGTGGATAGAGAAAATGTGGTACCTTTACACAATGGAGTACTACTCAGCAGAAAAAAAACAATGGAATCTTGAAATTTGCAGGCAAATGGATGGCACTAGAAGAAACCATCCTGAGTGAGGTAACCCAGTCACAAAAAGACAAGCATGGTATGTACTCACTCATATATGGATTTTTAAGCCTGAAACGGGAGTGCCAGCCTATAATCCCTAGCCAGAGAGTCTGGGAAACAGGGAGGACCCTAAGGGAGATATGCATGGTAACCCAGAGAAGGGGAACAGGACAGAATCTTGAGGGGATTGGGAGCATGGGAGGGGATGAGGAAGCTGGGAGAAAGAGAGGGGGTGAAGAGGCGGGGAGAGGAGGACATGGGGGAGCAGGATAGTTGAGTAGGGGAAAGAATAGAGGAGAAAAGGATGAGAGATACCATAATAGAAGGAGCCATTATAAGTTTGAAGAGAGATCTGGTACTAGTGAGATGTCCAGAGGCCTACAAGGATGACACCAGCTGGCAATCGAACCAATACTGGAGAGGCTACCTTAAATGCCCTTCCCTATAACATGATTGATGACTTCCTTATATGCCTTCATCCAGTGGCTTAAGGAAACAGAGGCAGACACCCACAGCTAAACATTGAACTGAACTCCTGGGACCCAGTTGCAGAGAGGGAGGAGTGATGAGCAAAGGGGTTATGACTTGGTGGATGGAACCCACAGAAACAGCTGACCTGAACAAGGGAGAGTTCATAGACCCCAGACTGATAGCTGAGAGGCCAGCATGGGACTGATCCAGACCCCCCCTGAACGTGGGTCTCAGTGAGGAGGCCTCAGCATCCTTTGGGGCCTCAGGCAATATGTCAGCATTTAGCCCTGTCATCCAGGTGGACTTTGAGAGCCCATTCCACATGGAGGAATGCTGTCTCCACCTGGACACATGGGAGAGGGCCTAGGCCCTGCCCCAGATCATATGACAGACTTTCGAGATTCTCCATGAAGGGCCTCACCCTCCTTGGAGAGTGGAGTGGGGATTGAAGAAGGGGTTGGGGGAGGGTTGAAGGGGGGCGGAAGAGGAGGGGAGGGAGAGGTAGCTGGGATTGACATGTGACGCAAACTTGTTTCTAATTTAAATTAAATAAAAAAGGGGGGGCAGGGAAGCTTGCTAGTGGGAACTAAGAACAGTTAGAAGCGTTGGCTGGGGTTTATTGTTGTTGTTTTTAAGATATATGATACTATGTCCCAGAACTCACTAAAGTAGTCCTGACTGTCTTCAAACCCATGACAACCCTGCCCCAGTCTTGTGAGGATTTCGAGCTTGGTGCCACCACGCTTGGCACTACAGATACAAGGGGAAGAAAAAGTAGTCCTGCTCTACAGGATGTAAAAATGATGCTCCTCAGAATGAGACCAGAACAGCAGTCCTGGCATCAGTGAGGGACAGATTAGAAAGGCAAAGGTCCCACCCCAGACTTACTCAGGCACCACATTTTAGCAAGCTCCTCAGATGGTTCATATGCACATTAAGTTTAACTGATTCTTTAAATAGTTTCTATAGGAAAACCCATTCTGTGTCCTAGAAAAAAGTTATTCATGACTTAAGGCCAATTACTTTTTAATAGGCCACCTGAAGAGTAAAATTACTTTTAATTAAAATCTAGCTGTACAGCAAGCACTCTATGTCCTCCTAATTCTTTATCATTCATTTCTGGCGTACCCTTAGCCCTCCCACACATTTTACCTTAATTCTATTTTCTGCATTCACATGTCTTGTTTTTTTTTTCATATTGTCTTATTGCAATCCAAATTAACAGATAAGTTTTACCTATCTTGTGAGGAAGACATGTCAAAGCTATGGACTCACTTCTGAAATGAAATCTCTTTGGATGCCTATTATGGCTTGAATATGAAATGCACCACCAACTCACATACTACTGGGGCTTGCTTGCCTGCTGGTCGGTTTAGGGAAGTGACTGGCTCCTGGGGGCTTTAATGAATGGATTGAGCCACTGAAGGATCCAATAACATACTAGCATTAAGGGGATGAAGAGGAGGTAGAGCTTAGCTGGAACACATCTTAACCTGGGACACATCTTAAAGAGATGTACCTTGTCCTCTGACCCTCTGGACCACCATGAGATAGCAACCTCTGCCATATGTTCCTACTTCCATGACACTCTGTCTAACCTCAAGTCCTCAGCAATAGATTCTGCCAGCTGGAGTAAAGCCTCTGAAATCATGAGTGAAAACAAATCTTTAGTCCCTTAGTTTAATTTTTCACAACAGTGAAAGGTCTAACAGTGTCCAACCTTAACCCCTTCTGTGTACTTACAGCGGTCATGTCACTGGCACTTCCCTGTTTGCTTGGCTCCCGAAGTCCATCCCCTTGTTCTCCCACTGACCCGGTAATATTATTCAGGTGTGCCTTGATGGCTGAATTCTGCAGTGTCAACTCAGCAATCCGTGTCATTATGTCCTTCCTCTGTACCGGCGCCTCATTTGTTCTAAGCTGCTGCCCATCTCCAAGCACTGGGGGCTCTTCTGAGAACGCAGGAGTTCTTGATTGCTGAGAGGTAGGAAGGGAATTGCAAGGGGGCTGTGATAGATTAACAAACTGTGTCTGGGCTTTGTTCTCTAGATCTTCTCCCATGTGAGAAACTCTCCACCTCTGAGTGAAAAGGCGATTTTCCTCACTTGAGTTCTGAATGTCTGGTTCGACAGGCAAGGCCTTCTTTTCCCAGTTCTGTTCTTTCTCTATGACTTCCACAGTAGGAGGGATTCGTGGAGCAGGACGAGTCTGAACAGTTCTCCTCAATACTGCAGACAGAGTTTTTAGACAATAATAAACATCTAATATTACTCTGCCTTGGTAGTCAGGGAAGTACTTCAATAGACAGGTTTGACTTCTGAGTGCCTAAATTATTTTCATAAAGGAATGTGTACAATCTTTTATATTCCTGAGGCTATTAGCATCTGTGTGAAAAATTGTGTGTCACAATGCACTTTAACACATATAACTCCTATGGGCACGACTATAGCCACAAATGAGGAGGAAAGATCTTGAGTCTGAGGATACCCAGGGTTACACAGTGAGACACTAGGGGGGGAAAAGGAAAAAAACTGAATAATTACTATAATGAATAAAAATCCAATCTGAACAGAAATCTTAACTCGAAGCATACTTCCTTATTATAGACAAATTATTAATTCCTCAGGCCCCCAAGGAAGAAACATTAAACTACATAATTAGAAAGCATGAAAGTAAAAAGTTCTCACATGCTAGAATAAGAAAGTTGGAGTTCAGAAAAGGAATCTTAGCCTAAACCTCCCCAGCCAGTCCACGAGGAACGGACAGGCCACCAGCACTTCCTCTCAGCCCAGCAGTCTCCATTTTCACAGCACTCATCTGACAACACCCTATTTGCCTTACAAACAGCAAAGTACAATTCTAGTAGCAAGGATCTGCTATTTTCTCCAACCACTAGACCCTCCTCAGTTCCTTTACCAAAAACATGTCAAAGTACAGAAAATCTGTGAAACTTTGAGTCCCAATAATAAAAGTCAAGTTCTACTGCTCTGCAGGAAAATAATAGTAATTTTTAAAGAAATAAAAATCCATGAAAAATAGGGATGGAAAAATATCTTCAAAAAAGGAGCTGGGAAGCTGTCTCAGCAATTAGTCACTTGCATAAAGGCTGGAGTTCCATTCTGAGACACCACAGGAGATAACTCCCCAAAGTGTTGTCCTCCGACCTCCACATATAAAGCTGTGGCATCCATATGCCTACATACCCCCCAATAATAAAATTAACAAAAGAGGTGGAGAGTGATAAAGAACAGACTTAATATTGTCGAGTGTTGGCCTCCACATAGGCACACATGGGTGGTGAAGCTCCGAACACACACACAAAATAAACAAATAAAGACAAATAATTAAAAAATTTTCAAGAACCAGTAACACACAGCTCAATGGGTAAAAGCACTTGACACCAAGCCTGATGACCTGAATTTCAGGCCTAGAACCCACGTGGTAGAAGGCAAGAATCCACTACCACAAGTTTCCTCTGTGTGCCACGGTACATGTGCATACGCACACACACCCACACCCCTACCCCCCTACCCCGCCACACACACACAGTTGGTCACCAGTGGAACACCTTTGAAGCGTGTTATTTTTTCAAGAGCCTCCTCATTCTCTCTGTCTCTGAGATGTCATGAAGTGAGCAGCTTTCCTCTGCCATGTCTTGTTCTACCACTGCTCATAAAAAAACAGAGCCAGCTGACCATGGACCACTGAAGCCATGAATAAAAGTAAGTTATCTAGTGATTTCACAGTGATGGTGGGGGAAGGGGAAGGATACGGATACACATGACATGGATGACATTACCCTAAAATACGTGTGTGTAGGGATGAGCCCACAATACTGTCCCAAAAGGGCGTGGACAGGAGTATGGGCAAGGTGAGGATAAAGGAAAAGAAAAGCGAAAGCACTCTCTCGGAAACCTGCCACGCTTCTGAGCTTCCAGTTTGTGTGTAAGTTCTTTTTCTGGGAAATAAATATATTCATTTCCATATTGCATTGACCTCCCTCATCACGTGTGTGTGTGTGTGTGTGTGTGTGTGTGTGTGTGTGTGTGTGTACAAAACGTTATAATATACACACATATGAGTGAAGGAAAAATCCCTGCTTCTATGGAGATGCAGAAGAGCCATGCTCACCATCCTGTAGAGGAGAGAATTCTGAGTTGCTCTTCTGCCTGGGTGGTGTTAACATCACAGCTGGCTCGAAAATATGTGTTGGGAAATTATTGGTCAGATTCAAGTTCTCTGTGGGGGCTGGCCCCTGAGAGAGTTTAACAGGCAACTCTTCCTGTGGAAATTCAACGGCTTCTTCCCCTCTGAACATCAATGGCATGGAGACATTACTGCTTACAACAGGAACCTCTGAGAAAGGCAAAAGGACATTCATTCGAAAGGAACAAAAAGGAATCATGGATACCTTTTATGTATTTAGTCTATTTTAAATTTTTTTATCTATGTACATATGTATGTACTTACGTACGTAAGTGTGTGTGTGTGTGTGTGTGTGTGTGTGTGTGTGTGTGTGTGTGTGAATTTGAATGTATACCATCCACTTTCAGGGGCTCAGAGGCTAGGAGAGGGCTTCAGATCCCTTGAAACTGAAGGCAGTTATGAGACACCATAGGGATGTTGGGAACTGAACCTGGGTCTTCTGCAAGAGTAGTAAGTGCTCTTAACCACTAAGCCCCCAGGTATTTATTCTTAAATGCATTTAAGTAGTATGAATGGTCCCAGAGTCCTCAGTCACTCAGCTATATCCTTGTTTGCCAGTAATTCACAGGCAGGCTCTTGTTTTGTGTAGCAAGAGCTCTGAAAGCCACAATCTATATAAAGAAAGCCTCTTACAGACCCCACTGCCCACCCTCAGCCTTCTTAATGGTCATGACAAATAAGGCAAGAACAAAACTTTTTAATATACTGACTTCCATATACAAGGGTTGTTGTAAAACTAGGTAACTTGGTAAGTCATCAGTAACTTTCTAACATAAGACTGAAGAAGATGTAAACCAGTTTTCACCTACATGGCCATTTCTGACTTTCCCACAGGCAATAACAAGAATTCACTAGAACCTTTAAGGTACCATAACCCCTGGGTTTCTCATCCTTGAGTAACTAAAAGTTTCTCAATGGCAAAGCTTAACTCACCAACATTCTATTAATGAAATACTAATAGCAAAGACCACCAAAAGGCAGCAACCACATATAAGTTATATTTTAGTCTGCCGCTTCTTCAAATCCATCAGCGCTAGCTTCTTTGCTTATTACTACTCAAGGCCATTAGGACATTAATGACACTCTGGGACTAATAAGACTCCACCTACCTACATTATCCACAAGTCTTCTACTCATAGCTGCCCTTTCTGATGCTTGACTCTCTTGTCTGGAGTTATTTATCACAGGGCAGTTCTTAACGGCATGCGTGAGTGATATAAGCTGCTCATCTGTGGTGACCATGTACTGCTGAAGTCTTGCCTAAAGAAAAGCACACTGGCATAACCATCAAGCCATTATCTAAAGAGTAAGCCGTACAGAGATGTGAGTGAGTGTGTGTGTGTGTGTGTGTGTGTGTGTGTGTGTGTGTGTGAGAGAGAGAGAGAGAGAGAGAGAGGTCATTATTTTAAATACCCACTCTAAAGCAATGTTATTCATAATTACAAACACCCTAAAGGTATCATGCTGGTGAAATGATTAAATAAATCACAAACTACTAGTTACTAAATACTCTGCTATAAAATTAAAACTAACCTTTTTTATAGAGCTTTTAATTTACAAAACCTTTTCATATAGATTATCTCTATTGACTGGCTGCAATACAGAGAGATACATTAGGTAGGGAAACACAATAAAGCATCCCATAGGCATTTAAGTGGATAAATTAAAAGACATAACATTATAAAGATGAAATAATATTATGGACAAAAGAAAGACACAGCATTTTATATATAGCATTGTTACAATTTTATATTTTATCTTTATATGAGCAATGACTATTTTATGTATACTCATTTGTCTATGCACATGCATATGCCAATTAATATCATATAATTTTAAAATTTAAAATAAACTATCACACCAATGATTTACTTTCTGTCATATAGTTGGACATGCTTAGAATTTCATTCTTACATTAAAAGTCAACTTATTGCCCAAAAGTTAAGATGGATTTGTTTTGTTTTTTCTTTGTCTTTTCCATATTGTAGATGTAAATAGGTCATGTGAAATCAATAAATCTGATTAAAACCACAAAATGCAGGTAATTATAAATATTGACATATGGTTCTTAGAAGCATAGAAAATGGCAGGTAAAAGAGAAGAAAAAGTAGTTATATGAACTGCCAAGACCATGTATCAAAGACAAAGTAAGAGAAACCAAGGATGACAGCTAGTGACACAAGTCAGAGGTACTCTCTTTCTCTCACATTCTTCCCCTCACACCATTTCCAATGGAATCGGTTGACCATCAAAATATACTCTAAATTTGCTCATTTCCCGTTTCCACTCTAGACCAGGCTGCTATGTCCCATCTGAATCAATCTGACGGCTCCTAGATACAATGCTCTGCTTTCATGGCCTACTACCTTTCCTACTTCTGCCCTGAAACTGCAGTCTGAGGCAACAGTGATTTTATAGGTGTATAATGCCAGTACATGCTTGTAACCCCAGTGCTGGGGGCACAGAGGCATGAAGATTCTTGCCACTCACTGGCCAGAGTCTAGCCAAACTGGTGATCTCCACCTTTACTGAGAAACCGACCTCAAAAACTAAGATAAAGTGTCACTGAGGTGACCCCAATATCAACCTCTGTCCTCCACACATACTTCCACACATATGAACACATACTGTCACCTAACACACACACACACACACACACACACACACACACACACACACACACACACACACTTAAAGAAGCATGCAAGTAGTCAGTTTTCTAGAAAAGATATTGTATGCCTTTTTGGTAGAACAATTAGTCAAGTATGAAGTCGCTAAAAACAACCATGAGTAACATGATGTCACTGCAGGAGGGCTTAAAAGCTAGGCTCTCCTCTGCTCTAAAACCACAACTGGCTACCAGAACACCCCTTCACAATTTGTATGAATGGACACAGTATTGGTAGCTATTTAAATGTAGATCCTGTTATCTCCACTCGACGGTATAGTTCTTAGAAACTTATCCTATATTGTTATGTGCAGTTTGAGTTTCAAATAGAGGACCCTGGCATAATAAATGCCATTAATACCCACTGCTGCTGCTAAGCCTGACAGGAAATGGCAACAGTGCAACTAAGCCAGAGGCAGCTCCAAGAGAAACCTGCAAGCATACAGACATACTCCACAACTAAACACCGAAGCGTTTGGGAGAGCATATGAATACCTCTGTGGTACTATGTTCTCCAAGAACCCTGCATACAAACAGACATTCTCCTCTACTAAACATGCAGTCTTTGGGAGAGCATGTGAATACCTGCGTGGTACTATGTTCTCTAAGAACCCTGCACATAAACAGACATTCTCCTCTACTAAACATGGAGTGTTTGGGAGAGCGTGTGAATACCTGCATGGTACTGTGTTCTTCTCTGAGGAGAAGAATTTCAGCTGTCAGAGCATCGATGAGCTCTCGGTGATCACCTAACATCTGCTCCAGCTGCTGCCTTGTCTCTACTTCTTTCCGCAGTTGAATCTCACTCTACAAAACACAAAAACAAAAGTAAATTCCCAAAAGTAGGATCACATACTGAAAACTTCATTTATACAAAGACAGCAAAGATAATTACAGAAAAGCATGAACCGTGACAATGATGAGATTTAAAAGCATGAACCATGACAATGATGAGATTTAAAACTTCTTAGAAGTCATACTGTCCTCATCCCATCTTTAAAAAGAGGTAACACTTCTATGAACAGAATATAGAATTAAAGAACTACATTTCTTTTTCATTTAAAAAGTGAAGGGCTGTGACTAAATACTGTTTGAATACACAAGCCATCTCTAAATAGACATTGTCTCTGGTCATAACCATAGGCTACAAGGAAACAAACAGGTTAGCTATTAAGTAGGAATGAAAATTAGTGCTTCTGTATCTTTGAATTTCATGCTGTGAGATATACTGTTAATCAAAAACTGATTGTTAAATATAACTTAAAACAAAACAAAAATAACCAAGTACATTCAACTATATTGCCTATTTCTACTATTAAATCATAGCTTTGGAAGTAAGTGAATAGTTAAAAGGCACGTTACCAAGCCTGCAATGCTTTACAGGACTACAGGCTTAGGGCAAAAGAATGCTGAGAGGTGGGAGGATAACAGGAGTGGGAGGGAAATACAGAGGATGGGGGTGACAGTGATCAGAATGTACTATGTATGCGTATGGAACTGTCAAAGAACAAATCAAATAAAGATAAAAGGGAAAGAAATCCACTAACTACAATATCATTCACATCATAAAAGGTACATGAACAGTACTCTGAAGGAAAGAATGAAATAATCCCAGAATAAGGATCTACTGAAAAGACCTTTACATGTCTGACAGTACAACAAAGCTTTCATTACAAGACACTTTTAAGAAAACACATGCAGATGACATGTAAATTACAGTGATATATCTACTGCTTAAGTAAAATCTTCTTAAATGTTATTGCCATATTTGTTCAACAGATTTAAGTACATAGTAAATAAAACTATATGTAGATTCTAATGTGTATATATACATGTATATGAGGGTGTGCATGCAAGCAAACCTCAAGTGTCATTCTCAGAAACACAGACAGTGTCTCTCACTGACCTAGAGTTCAGCAATTAGGCTGGCTAATGAAGTGAAGGATGGTAATCTTCACTTCCCCAGTGCTGAGACACCATACCCAGGGTTTTTTGGTTTTTTGTTTTTCACAAGGGCTTTTGCAATTAAACTCTCATCCTCATGCTATCAAAGCCAACACTTCAGCAACTGAGATATCACCCCAACTCCTTAAGTAGATGGTATAGAAAATTAAATGTTCTACTAACTAATTCTATACCACCTGAGGACCAATTATCATTTATAAGCAAACATTTCTTTATTGTACAAATTACTTTCACAATAGTAAGACATCTTCCACTTAGACAACTCCCAGTCTACAGAAATCATGAACAGTTTTCCCACCAATGAAACTTACAGATTACAGGCAAAGCAACTCTCCAAAATGAGTTATGGGAGCAGCCAGCAAAGGAAAGCAACACAATGAAGCTATCGTTACCAGTGCTTTCTAAACCCAAATACCCTAATAGTAATACTTCAACTAGCATAAGACATTACTTTATTCACTTACACATTTTTCTTACTGATGACATTTTTCTAAAGCTTACAGCAATATCAGAATTATTTACCTAAGCAGGTGTCAAATGACGGGGATTACATGCATAAATTTTACTGCAGATAAACTAATACTGAGTAAAACAAAACTATTCAAATTTAACTTGAATTATTTGGAGAGTGCAATAAATTAAGCAATGAGAAAGCAATCCACATATATTCATACCTGAAGAGTCACATACACTGTATTCTTACCTCTTTAAGGTACCGAACCAGGCGGCAGAGAGAGCTCACCAGCGACAGAGTGAAGCCTGTGAGCCCCTGACCACCCTGCAGCCCCTTGACCTCACGGCCCGTCCACCGCTCATACTCTTCCATCTCATGCTCCACTTCATTTATCATGTGTTTGAGGACATCCAGGCTGGAGGCGTTGTTACTTGGCAAGTCTGTGGAAGTTGTGCTGGCAGATAACATGTTCTTCTTCTGCTTGGAAGGAGCACGCATATCTGGTTTTTTTTTCACTGAGAACGACAAAAGTAATTCTATTTCAAAACCAGGAAAGCCACAAATACAAAATTACCGAGAAAACATTTAATTGTTCTCCATTCAAAAAGTTAGAAGTTACCACAGTCTTTATGATTAAAAACCTACAGTGTTGAAACAAAGTTTGCGTTATTTATAGCTAAGGTACTATAACTCTCTCACATATGTGCACAAAAAGAATTTCTTAGCTTTCCCTCAGCAAACTCATACTTAAATACATCCAATTGGATGAGCGTCAGGGAAAAATATTTCCTGGGTGACTGATAAAGCTATAACAGATGCGTGTTTAACAATTCATCTTTGTAAAGGAGACAAAGTAGACCTTTATTAAACAGCTGCTTTTGCTTCCTGGAGTTCAGCACTTGCTCCACCACACAGCTGGAGTCCACAGTCTCAGCAGACTCCTCAGGCTGAAGCCCAGCCTGGATTCTCTTGATAGCGTTGGTCGCATTAAGAGCAGCTGAGAAGGAAGAACACAGCAGAAAGCATTTCAAGGGACTATGTTTTCTCTAAAACACCCCCACAAACAGATTCATCAGGGTTTTAGTCAATGCATAAAGACTCCAAAAGTTAAGTAGCATTTGAAAATGACTGTGTTCAAAACGAACAAACAAAACCTAAAAGTTTGCTACTGGAAACACTACAAAAGAGTAACTCGCCTTTCTGTTCCTCTGCGGAGAGCACCGAGGATGGAGTTCCTGGAGGGGTTCTCTGTGACTGGGTAGCTATTTTCTGCTGAATATCAGTCCACAATTGATTGATTAATTCAGAATTCTCTTCCTTTAGTTGGTGAAGAAACCTATACATTGTGGGACAATTACAATTAATAGGTGCCATCGTTTAAACTGTCCAATTGCTTATGTGCTTGGTTTGAAAGAGTTTTCATCAGTTCACAACTAAGGCAACAATTTTATTGACGTTAGCTGACAAGACGATATTGAGTTGAATAAGAATGTACCCTATAGGCTTACACATTCAAACACTTTGGTCCCAGCCAGTGGTGCTGTTTGGGAAGGTTATGGAACCTTAGGAGAGGGAACCTTGCTGGAGGTGAGGCTTGAGGGTGAAGGAAGCATTTATAGCTGGGCCCCACTCCCTCCTCTCACTTTCTGCTTCCAGACTGCCAATGCAATGTACAGGCTGGCCTGGTGCTCCTGTCGCCATGCCTTCCTGCCATAATGGACTGGATCTCCTCTGCAACTTTAAACCAAGATTCCTTAGGCTGCTTTTGTCCATGTATTTTATCATAGCAACAGAACAAAGCTGATACAGACAGGTAGGAAGTCAAAAGGCCCCTCATCTTAGGGAAGAAATCAATCCACCTGCCTTCCAGTTCCTGTCCCACGGTCCTGTACACAGCAGTGTTTGCCTTTGTAGTTTTGTTGTATAGTCTCACCTTCCTTCCTTTCTTTCTTTCTCTAAAGTAATTATGCATGCATGGTTCTGCACATGTGGTTTCTCTCCTCTTCAAGAGAGCCCATCTGCACAGCAGTCTGCTCATAGTGAAGTGAATGCTTTGCACCAGAGATGGGGCAGGAGTCAGAAGAGGAGCTTAGGGACTTAGTGCCTGAAAGCCCTTTCATGACAGACCTCAGTCTTTTCTACAAACATTCTCAGCACTGTCAATGCTCATAGAACTGACAGAAAGGAATGATCTTAGACCAGGAGTTGCTCAACTATATCCACAAAATCCATACATACAATAGTGACATTACAAACAGAAAATTTAAATTCAAATGATTTGGTTAATGAAGAACCCTTTCTGATAACACCAAGAGGAAGTCAGAACAACACACAGATGGAATTAAACATATATAAGCATTTAAAGATACTACGTGTGTGTGTGTGTGTGTGTGTGTGTGTGTGTGTGTGTGTGTGTGTGTGTGTGTGTACTAAGCCGTTCATATCTAGTTCACAGTAGAAGTAAAAAACTAAAAGAGCAGGATGTGGTCATTGTACATGCTGGTTGTCCCAGCACTTGGGAAACTAAACAAAAGGATCACAAACTAGAGACCCAGCTAGCGTACAGAGTAAAATTGTGCCTGAGAAAACTAAGGGCTAGAGACAGTTCTGTGGCAGAGCACTTGACTATACTCAAGTCCAAGTTCAAACATCAGCACAATAAACAAACTTTAAAACATTTCCCAATAGCAAAAGGTTGCGTGTGTGTACACATGTTCATGTTTTGAGTAAGAAATTCTAAAAATTAATTTTTTTTGAAGACAGGTCTCTTTCATAGCCTTGGCTGTCCTAGAACTAGCTCTGTAGACCAGGATGGCCTTGTACTCATAGAAATCCACTTGTCTCTGCCTCCTGAGTGATGGGATTAAAGGCGTATGCTACCACACTTAGCCTAAAAAATTAAATTTTTAAATGGGTAAACACCAAGAAAAAATGATTTATTGAATGGATGAAAGAAATTCTTTAAAGAAAATCTACCTGAGAAATAAAAATTAATACTAGGTGTTAATTTCATAAGGAGCATTGAGGAAGTTAAGGAAAGCAATACAAGAATGGAGGTAAAGCCGGGCGTTGGTGGCGCACGCCTTTAATCCCAGCACTCGGGAGGCAGAGGCAGGCGGATCTCTGTGAGTTCGAGGCTAGCCTGGTCTACAAAAAAGTGAGTTCCAGGACAGCCTCCAAAGCCACAGAGAAACCCTGTCTCGAAAAACCAAAAAAAAAAAAAAAAAAAAAGAATGGAGGTAAGATTAGATTAGGGAGATAACAAATGATAAAGAAAGCAAATGTAAATGGGAGAAGCAGGATATCAACAGAACAGCTAACACCCAGCAACAGGGACAGGGAAAGACAAACCTACAACTTAAAGGGCCAACTATGTTGGATAAGGGGAAACTGTCCTGGATCCTCAATTATGGGACACATCTAAATAACACTTTAGTCTAAAGGCAGAAAAAAAATGTTGAGGTGAGGGAAACTGAGTCGTTAGACAAATACACCAAATTTCCTATGAAAGCAAGAAAATTACTATAGCATCAAACCTCAGAAAAGCAACACATAAGGCTAACCAAGAGTGAAGACTATTGCCAAAAAAGCCAGCAGTCCTTCAAATACAGAAGCTATAGAAAAATGTCTAAATATTATGCAGAGAATCAGAGACCTTAGAACACTCAGACCTAACAGGATGCCTCCATTAAATTCTTCCCTTCAGGAATCTACTGAGCCTTGGGCAGCAGATCAGTACCCATCCCAAGTGTACAAACGGACTTTGGACTCCAATAGAACAATGTGAGGTGCACTCTCACCCTGAATTCTTGGGGAAGGGTCTAGGCCCTGCCCTATATGAAATGACAGACTATGGACACCCCCATGGAGGGCCTCACCCTCCCTGGGGGAATGAGGGGATAAGGGGGGGTAGGGTTGAGGGGAGGGCACGGGAGGAGGGGAGGGAATGGGAGAGGGACCTGGAACTGACTTGTGAAGCAACCTCGTTTCTTATCTAAATTTAAACTGGAAAATAAAATTAAAAAAAAAATCTATCAAGAGAGCCAACACAGGAGCTCACTGTAGAAGAACGGGGCAATTGTCATTGAGGTGGAATGTGACAGGAAAAGCCTAAAGAGACAGGATACTGCTCCTTCACATTATCTTGTGAGGTCCATGTGTCTATACCCAAACCAACAAGATGAGAGCTCTTGTGTTTCTGGCAAAGATTCACAACACTGTGCCCAGTGCCTTCTTGTCCTTGTATCAAGAGACTTTGGGAGGTGAAGCAGAGAGAACCTGAGCCCGATTTGCCGCTATACTTCTTGTTGCAAGGTCATTGCACAATACAGGGGCAATTCCAACCACTTCAACTGCTGCTGAACTCTAAAATGCTTGCCTCCTCTTTTTTTGAAGAGAATATTCAATGAGCTAGTAGTGGGCTGAGGTAGTGCTGGAGTAAAAACAGTACATCTCAAAAAAAAAAAAAATTCTTCCCTTCAGGGATCAGGGAACCTGTAAGAGAGGAGATGGGAAGAGTGTAGGAGTCAGAAGATGGAGGACACCAAGAAAACATGGCCTTCTAAATCCCCATGAGCAAAACTCATATGAAGTCACAAAACTGAGGCTACCTGCACAGAGCCTGCAGGACTCTGCACCAGGCCCTCTGCATATATAGTATGGCTTCCAGTTTAGTGTTTTCATGGGAGGTTTTGCGTGTGAGAACAAGTGGGTCTCTGATTCTTGTACATTCTCTTAGGCTCTCTTCTTTCTGTTTGCTTTGTCAAATTCTGATGTCAGCTTTTAAAAATCTTATTATATTCTACACAGTATATATTTCATATTTAAATTATATAATGTTATGTATAATTTATAATAAAATAAAGTATATTATAATTTATAGTAATTTTATTATTATCTCTTAGAAGCCTGTATGATTATAATGGGAGACAGAAAGAGGGTGGATCCCGCTGGGAAGAGAAGTTGGGAAGAACTGGGAGAAGAGGGAGGAGAATCTGTAATCAAGATATATTATTCTGTAAGGAAACAAAAACTATTTTCAATAAAAGGGGAAAAAGAAAAACGTCTAAAGAATTCAAGAATTCTATTCACAGGCCCACAGCATGGGCTTTAACTAATCAAGATTCAATTACAAAACAATCAAGGAAATATGAAAGGGCTGATGAACATTTAATAATTTCATGACTGTAAGATAAAAAAGTCACGATATACAGGAAACACAGTGTGTAGATGCTTTATGTTCTGTCAATTCAAATCTAAGGGTGCAACTACAATAGGGGAGAAATGCACAAGTGCTCAGTCGACTAGTCAATGTGCAAAGAAAAATCAAGAAAGTACACAGCTAGCAGCAAAGATTAAGAACAGGACTAACAGTCCTATAAAAAGGTTTGTACACAAAGGCAGCCATCACAACAGAACTACACTCTTCCCAAACACCAAAACTTTTTAAGGACCAACAATGAACATATAGAAAAAGACAGTGTGCAAGCCTGCAATCCTAACACTCAGGAGGCTAAGGCAGAAGCTGGCAGTTTGAGGCCAGCCTGAGTTTCACAGTGAGATCAAATCAACAACAGAAAGGAAAAACAATAACTACCGTTCGAGGTACAGTACTATTAGTGAATATGGCAAATTTGACATTTAACACACCTACTGTATCAACCAGGGTTACCAGCTTACTTCATCAATCAGAATTTCCAATCGACTAAGAAGGCCATACTCACTCTCTACTGAATACATGGAGCACAAGTAATATAAAATAACTGCAAAAGGCTAAATGTAGAAGACTATATATAAAAAGCAAAGATAGTGCAGACAATCAGAAACAAGAAGTAGAGGTTTTACTCCCAATCTCAGAAAAAACAGATTGGACCAAAAGATATTTACTATGACAATGGAGATCATAATGTTAAAAGCCATTGATCAAAGTAAAGATACAGCATTTATAGATATACATATCCTATAACTACAGTAGTCACCGTCACAAAAAAAGGATATATTAAACTTCAATTAAGTTATTAAAACAAGAAAAACAGAAGCATGCTAAAACTAGGAGTCTTTAATACATCACTCTTGGTCTATAATATGGCAAAATTAACTAAAGAGACAGAAGAAATACAACATAGTCTGCAAGGTAGGTGTTATGATGTACACACAGAACGTTGTACCTTCCAATAGAATAGCCACTTCTCAAGCGTGTACATGGAATACTCACAAAAATGTGATCATAGACAGCTCATAAAGAAAGCATCACCAAGTTCCACAAGGAGAAAAATTACAGACCACAGCCTGAACACAGTGTGATTAAACTAGAAATGACAGGGATGTTCCACGGTCTTGCTTTGCTTTGCCTTAGTTATATATGTATAAGCAACTCTCAGTGAAAAGCAGAAATATCAACTGAAATGGCTTGGTTTCTTAAATAACCCATTTATTTTTGTCAACTGAAAAAAATATACTACAATCCTAAGTCGAGAGGAAACAGGTAAAGAGAAAAAACTGGGGTGGGAGAAATAAAACTATTAGCTCAAGTTAAGAAGCCAGGAGCCCAATTCTTTGAAAAATTAAGAAACTAGACTATTAACCAATGTAATCTGACATTCACTCAATTTACAGCCCAGAGCTGCTTCACTGTTCTGTAAAAACAAAGCAAGTGATCCCTAAGACCTTTCGGGAGGCTGGGGGGTGATTTCAGGTCATGTCAGGTGATAAATTCAAGTATAGTATGCTACCTTTTATATATGAAACAAGAGAGCAGGAGACATATGTCTATACATTTACTTGTATTTACAGGAAGGAATACAAGAGGAATAAAGAGCTTTTTGCACTCCTACAACAACTTTTAAAATACAGAACAGTCAGGTGGTGGTAGTGTATGCCATTAATCCCAGTACCTGGGAAGCAGAGACAGGCAGATCTCTGAAAGTTCAAGGTCAGCCGTCTACGAGTGCGTTCCAGGACAGTCAGTACTACTTAAGAGTCCCTGTCTCAAAAAATGAACAACAAAAATACATCCTGGCACTCTTAGAGTGACTTTTCACAGCATGTACAGCTTCTTCTGTGATGGTCAAATGCACACACACACACACACACACACACAGACACACACACACACGCATACATACCTCTCTGTGTTCCTCTTAGACTGGGAGTTGAGGGAGTTAGGCAGTTCACTCTCGCTGTCATCTGACTGACTGTGAGCAGTGCTCTCTTCTCCTTCATCATCTACTTCATTAAGAGCCTATCTCAAAAATAAAACCAGAGCACAAATTGATTACATGCCCACTCATCCTTCCTTTTCATCACAGAAATTTCTCCTCTCAAGGCTAACCCCTTCATATGTGTACTAAATAAACACCGAAGCTTCTCAACTCTTCCTCTAGTGTCCTTCTAACATCTTTAAAGCTCCCTTTAGCTGTCAGTATTTAAATGCAAGAAAACTTTCCCTTCTTACAACAAGTCTGTGTGCACCCTGAGATTATCTTCTGTTCCTGTTTTGCTTTTGTTTAGCCCAGGCTAACTCAATTTGTTAAGTACCTGAGACTGGCTCAAAATTCACAATTGCTCTATCTCAGCTTTCTAGTGCTAGTAATTGCATGGTTGAGCAACCACTACTGGCAAAACAATCTCTTTAAAAAAAATCATTTCCCATTTCGCAGATACCATCTGTGCTCTGCAACTTTGCCTCTATCTGGCCATTCCACTCAAAATGCTTCTGCAAGGTCAGTGTCAGCATGCTTATTCCTAACGAGACAATTCCATCTTTCCCTTTCCTTCTCTGACTCATTACACCTTACTCATTACAAGTTCTCTTCCTCTACAATCAATAAGAGTTGTATATGCATGAGGAATTTAGTCTAACACCTAACACACACTAAAGGGCCAGGCACAGCAGAGCATGCTTTTAATCTCAGCACTGTGAAGCAGAGACATGGAGATCCCTGGAGCTCCTTGAGAGTCAGTCCAGGCTTAGTGGGTGAATTCCAGACCAATAAGAAATTCTGTCTCAAAGGAGGTGGACAGTATTCCTCAGAATGACACCAAGGTTGTCCTATGACTTACACATACACACACACACACACACACACACACACACACACACACACACACACGCTCCACATACTCAATTACACACTCATCCTTCAACTTCCTATCTTCTTGGATGTTCTTTTCTTTTTCTAGTGGATCTTTCCCAATCTCCTTTATCAATTTTCTTTATCTACCATCTCTGTATAATTGACAGGACGATGGTTGACAGTTAAGCACTTAAAATGTTTACCACAGGGCCTCTATCAAGTTGAACTTCCTTTTAGCATGGGCAATTGGTTGTGAGTGCAATGCATTACCTGAGGCTCTATGAGAGATTCATTAAGGGTGGACTGGGTGCCAGGATCTTGATTTACTCCAATGAGACTCTGAGAGGAATCTGGAGCCATTGTTACATTTGGAAACCCTGCAGAAGGAACCCAAGTCATTATGATTTCTTTCATCAGCTTAAACAGCTTTACAAGTTCTACACTGCCACAGGCTCCCTTCACTTCAGGGAAATCTCAAACAGCAGCTCCTCTTACACGTATGTATATGTACCAAACTTATATCTAAACTCACTTTTATCTTCACAAATTCCATGAGATATAGTCTATTATTTGACAAATCAGTAAACTGAAACTTGGAGAAATTAAGCAGCCCAGAGTTATTCTAATAAATGGCTGACCTGGAATTAAAACATTCTACTAAAAAAAATCCCATGTTTCTGAAGGATTAAACAAGTTATATACAGATTATGATTAATAATGTTGGAGCAGAGAATGGTGGTACATGCCTATAATGTCAGCACTCAGAAACTAAGAGGCAGGACGTTCAGGAGTTCAAGGCCAGTCTTGGCTACGGACCCTGGGGATGGGGGCAGTGATAATCAAATGCAACTAAAGATAACCAAAGTTTCTTTTAGCAAGAAACTGAAGTTGCTTTAGATTTTAAGTTAGGCTTATTCAAACTATATGTAAATATACATATTATAATTATGTGATAATTTAATAAACTGAAAAATTAAGCCACATTTTATAGGTACAAAACAGTGCACTTCACACCATATGTTTGTAGGTAATTCTTTTAGATGAATAATTTGTAACACTTTATATTCCTAGTAAAAAGCAAACCAATTATGACTCTTAGCCCCAATAATCTTCATATACTAGCTAGCTAGAATTCTTCTAATCACTTACAAGTTGGGTTTAAGAAAGAAGAGCAAGGGGCTGGAGAGATGGCTCAGAGGTTAAGAACACTGACTACTCTTCCAGGGGTCCTGAGTTCAATTCCCAGCAACCACATGGTGGCTCACAACCATCCTTAATGAGATCTGGTGCCCTCTGCTGGCCTGCAGGCATACATGCAGACAGAACACTCTACATAATAAATAAGAGAGAGATAAAGAAACAGAGAGAGAAAGAGCGGTGACACACATCTTTAATCCCAGCACTCAGGATACAGAGGCAGGTAGATCTCTGTGAGTTCAAGGCCAGCCTGTCAAGGCCAGCCTGGTCTATAGAGCAAATTCTAGGACAGCCAAGACTGTTTCACAAGACTGTTTACAGAGAAACCCTATCTAGAAAAAATGAAACAAACAAAACGAAAAAAACAAGAAGAGCGGGTTTTGTGTGGATTGAACACATACCTGCGCGCTTACGAGGAACATCAACAAACAGACCTTTGGTTGCAGCCATCAGATGATCAGACTTCTCCAGCACATCCTGCATCTGGTACTGATCAGAAAGAATCTACACACATATTAAGAAAAAAAAAACAGTGTTCAGAGGGGAATATATTTAGTTTTTAAAAATCACTAAGGAAAAGGACTAAGGAAGGCACCAAACACAACATTTTAAAAACTTAAATATCGGCCTTTATTGGTTATGGTTGCTGGATTTGCTTTTAACCATGGGCCATGACCATCCTAAAGCCAGCCAATGGCAATATTAGATAACAGTAGATGGGGCAATTACAGTAATCTGTAGCTTCGAAGAAAATGTATTACATTGTGATCTTGAACACACAGGCACATACACATATATATGCACACACTCACACTCACATGTACATATACACTTACATGTACATACACACTCAACACTCACATGTACATATACACTCACATGCACATATACACTCACATGTACATACACACTCACTCACATACACTTTAACTTTCCTTTTACTCTTTACATCTTTCCCATCATACATCTCAATCCCATTCATTTCCCCAATCCTTCACATCTGACCTCTGCCCTTGCAATCCCCCCCCCCAATAAAATAAAATTTAAGAGAAAAGGGGGAATCTCATCGTGGAAGCTGTAGTGTGACACAGAGAGTCACACAATAAACCCCTTTTGTCCATATATTCACTTGCAAGTGTTCATTGCAAAGAGTCTGGTTCGAGGCCTCTGGTTTCTACTACACTAGCGACGCTGGGCCCTCACTGGGACTCCTCTCCGACATCCTGTTGTCCCATGTCATGGAGATCCTGTACCTTTGGGTCTACAGCACCCCTTCATGTGCTCCAACAGATCACAGATGGTGTAGATTTTGGGGTGGGCCAACCCTGGTTCTAGCCCTGGGTGGTTGCAGGGTTGGTCAGCCCGCCAGCTCTCCTCTGTCCTCACCACCAGGGTGAGCTCTCCTGCATTGTTCTGGGGAGTTCACCCCTTGCAGCGATGAACAAGGGGCCAGTTTTCAGGGTCGGCTCTCCCACACCTGAACATGAGGGCCAGCTCTACTATGCCACCCTCCCAAGTGCTGCAACTGGTGCCGGGCAGGGCCAGCTCTCCCACTCTTATGACCTCAGGGCCAGCTCTCCCACACTGCCACAGAAAGTGAAGGGAGGGGCTCTCCCCCACCTCCACACCACCATATGAGATGAGGGCGGGCCAGCTCTCCCACACTGCTGTCGGTAGGATCAGCTCTACTCTGCTGCCCAGCTGAGGTGCAGGGTCCGCTTTCCTTACAGCAGCTGGTAAGGGGGCTAGCGTCCTCATCTGTCATAGGCAGCAAGGGCAAGGGGTAAGGGGGGACATCTTCCCACGCCCCACCGCTGCGTCACAGATGATTAGCAGACACAGCTCTTCTACACTCACAACTTTGGGGCTGGCTCACCCACACCTCCGCCAACTGGGCCAGCTCTATTGTGCTGTGCTGTCCAGGCGAGGAGTAAGGCCTGCTCTCCCTAAATGCACACACTTTTTAAAGTAAGGCTTTTACATAGGATTTCTACATAAGAATGACTTTTTAAGTTTTATTCCATTCTAGTTTTAAGTGATGGCGATTTCATAACCCATTAGTAATAATAATGTAATTCAAAAATACAGATTAAAGATAAGTATCTCTGAGCCATAAACTCAAAGGTGTTCTGATAATCCACTAACAAACAGGTCACGCATGGTCTGTGACTTACAAAACAAGGTATAGGTTTTAGGATTAAACAAAAAATGTTATGTTTGGTATTTATAAACAAGTTAGGTTTTTACCATGGAGAGATGGTTACACAAAAGCACCACTACAATTGTGCCTCTAATCATGCACTTTCTATTGAAGGTACATACATACAAGCAAAGACATAGGCTGAAGACGAGTCAATTCTATTTACCACCACCAGATGGCACTCTTAAGCCGAAAAGAATGTTAAAATCAAAGCAACTCATTTCTAACACTGACTCAAATCAATAAAGCATCTAATAGCAAACACTCTGCCTAGAATTTCACTATAACATAGACATAATGGCATCAATTACTATTTTAAGGTACAAAGAGAAAAGTGAGTCGCATTTTGTGTTATCCTTTCTGCTATGGCCATTTGGGTCAGCTACTAAAACTGAGTCCTAAATTTGCTCCTTCCAGAGCAAACTTTAGAATTTCACAAGGCCAAGAGCACACATGGTGCAGAACACTGGGTTCTAGGTCCACATCAGAAATAGTACACAAACCCCAATCTCTTTAAACTTAGTTTTCTACTGTGTCAATGTCGTACAGTATGGGTCTTACTTAAATTTGATTATAATTAACACTGGGCATCAACATAGTTATTTCTGGTTGTGAGTGTAGCCTTTAATGGCTGGGCCATCTCTCCAGCCCCAATGTGGTTATTAGTGAGATCATTCTTCCACTTTCTGTGTAATTTTTCTAGTATGGTGACAAACATACTTTCTCACTGTATCATGTATATGCCTATGATCCTATTACATCCCTTAAATACAGACACCATAAGCACAGAAAATTCAGTAACTGAAACCAAAGATGCACATACTCTTTGACTCTTACTTTTCTTTTCTTTTCTTTTTGAACCCAATATTTGGGGCGGAACCCTGAGACATCCTAAGAAGTGCTCTAACACTGAGCTGAGGGCTGGAGAGATGGCTCAGAGGTTAAGAGCACTGACTGCTCTTCCAGAGGTCCTGAGTTCAATTCCCAGCAACCACATGGTGGCTCACAACCATCTACAATTCAATCTGGTGCCCTCTTCTGGCATGTAGGCAGAACACTGTATATGTAATAAATAAATAAATCTTTTAAAAAAAAAAAAACACTGAGCTGAAAGCTCAGCCCTTGACTTAGTACTTCTGCCAATAACTCATCAACAAACAACTATACCCAGAAAAATACTCAACATTCACTGCATCATTTATAGTGACAAGGGACAGCCAATCTGTGAGCGGCACACACTGCTACTTATTCCCTATTTTGCCCTTTAATAGCACAACTCCTAAATTTCAGTCAAGGAAGCACCTAATTTCCAACCCCTCTTTGAATACGGGAATGGCCATAAAATAATGTTCTAGGGAACAAGACATGATGCCAAATCTCTGGCCGGCATAAAAGGGAGAGCAGACACTGTCTACTTCCACGTGCTGTTTACTTGCATACAACTGAAGGACTGTAACAGTCATCCTGTTCTAAGACATGCGCTGAAGAAACTGTAGGGCCCTCCACCAGCTACCTCTGTGTTGTGTTTAAACTACTGTATTTTGAGTCCTTTTCTTCCCAGAAGCTTAATCTGCACTCTAATACACAACATCAGTGTTCACAAATAAAACAATCATAAATAAATCATGGCAAATCTATACCCAGCCTAGACATTTTTTAAAAAGGTAAATTTATTTCTACATATTGACTTCTAAGATATACTGGCATGTCAATAGAGATCTAAGCACCTCCTGGGCCCTACAGGGGTGGCAGAAGGGTGGTATACACTGAAAACCTGTATATGCTAGCAGTGCTTGGCATGGTATTACAATACAAATGACATCATCTTATGAACCAGGTTCCTATCATTGGTGAAATGGACCTTCCAAGACCATGAAGTTAAGAGCTTGGGGATTATGACTTACGTTGGATGTAACATATAATAGGATCAGCATACCTATGGCTACAGCAGAAACTGACAAAGACAGAAAGTAAAGGGATAAGCTTACTAATCGTGTTGATACAGGGTATTAATTACAATCAGGTCTCAAGTAAAGACACTGCTTTGTCCTCTTTTGCTAAGTCTCTGTTACGTCTCCTGGAGCCGGTTGCTCGTGTAGCCAAACATCACTGTAGTAGCCTTACTAAGTGAGACCCGTTACTAAGAGGAAACATCTAAGTCTCAGAATCACGGTAGTACAGAGGGAGAAAGCAGCATTCCTAGAACCCTGTCCCCCCACTGCTCTTCTCCCCACATCCACTCTGAAAAGCTAGCAGGGCTGGAGAGACAGCTCAGTGGTCATCACGGGTTAAGAGCGCTCGTGGCTCTTGCTGGGGAGCCAGACTGGAACCCAGCACTCACATGGTGACTCACACTCTGGGACTTGGTTCTGGGGTGGGGGAGATCGACACACTCTTCTCGCCGCCAATGGCACCAGACACACAAGCATACGTGCAGACAAACACTCATAGACAAAAATGAAAATAAAGCCTCAAAAAAGAAAAAAGAAAAGAAAAGGAAAGCTAGAGAAAGAAAACCAAAGCCCCGAGTCCGACTCCTCCCAACGAGGTCATCTGGTTTTCTAGGTCAGATCTGTGGTTTGGGGCCTTTCAGTGAGAACAGGCATATACCAAACGTGAATGACTGGCCCAAGATCACAAGATGTAAAGTTGAATTCTCTGAACCCACTGATCCTTTTTCAAGTTACGGAAACATTTATTTGGGAGAAACCGTTCTTCCTAATGCATAGGATTTCTGTAAGACAGTGGTTCTCAACCCCCCTAACGCTGCAATCCTTTAACACAGCTATCGTCATCATGCAAGGGTGACCCTACCCCCAAACCATAAAATTATCTTCATTTCTACTTCTTAACTGTAATTTTGTTACTGTTATAGATCATAATGTAAATACCTATGTTTTCTGATGGTCTAAGGTGACCCCTGTGAAAGGATTGTTTCACCCCACGGGGTCACGACCCACAGACTAAGAACCACTGCTCTAAGAATCCAAGGAATTTCTCAAAACACAGCCTGCAACTTAGAACCATGAAAGGCCACACTGAGAGCACACACTGTAAGCTAAGCCTGGTCAAGAAGCCACACACAGCACATTCCTTCACTGTGACTTCAGCTCTGCTATAGCTCCTTCTGACTCCCCGCCTGTCCACCCTACAAATCTGATTACGTCTTCAAACACTGGAGCAGGCAAAAGGTTATGCCAGAGGTAGATGGCTGATGACCTAGATCAACAGGCACACAAAATTATTTGATTTTATTTCATTCTTGCTATGCTGTTGAACTGAGACATAATTACAGAAGTTTACAGAGATAGAACACTATCTGCCAAAGACTGTGGTAATCTCTTTAAATGCATGCATTACGTCACCAGGGCTAGAGAGATGGCTCAGTGGCTAAGAACACTGGTTGCCCTTCCAGAGGACCTGGGTTCAATTTCCAGCTCCCACATGGTAGTTCACAACTGTCTGAGGACCTGATACCTTCTTCTGACCTCCACAGGCGCCAGGCATGCACATGGTGCACAGACACACATGAAGGCAAAACATCATGCACATACATTTTTTTTCAAAGAAATTTAAGTGCTATGCCATTAAAATCTTATAACATAGCCAAGAATTTGGGGGGGGGGGCTGGTTTTTGTTTTGAGACAGGGTTTCTCTATTGTTGGGAGTCTCTGCCACCACCCCCCCAAGGTTAGAGAGGCTAGAGTGCCAGTCCCACAGCCTCCTCAAAATCGGAGACAATCAGGTACAACAGGGAGTCCAGTCAAGCAGGATCTCATTTATTGTTTAACAGTAAAGCCGTCTTAAAGTAAAAAACCACCACAGGGCGGGAAAAGTATCACCCAGTAATTTTAAAGGAATTCCTATTATGTATCTAGTCTCCTATCCCCTCTTGGGCACAGTCTGCTAGTGTGATGACCTCATCTGGTGTGAGTTTGGGCATCACCCAGTAATTTTAAAGGAATTCCTATTATGTATCTAGTCTCCTATCCCCTCTTGGGCACGGTCTGCTAGTGTGATGACCTCACCTGGCTGAGCTTGGGCAGCCGTTGTTTTTCTTAGTAAACACTTGAAGCCTTCCTGTCCTCAGCTTGGGTCACTCCCTCTCCTGCCAGAACATGAGCTGTGCTCCTCCACACTCTGTGTAACTGCCCTGGCTATCCTAGAACTCACTCCATAGACCAGCCTGGCCTCCAACTCACAGAGATCCTCCTGACCAAGTACTGAGTGTGAAACCACTGCCCAGTAACACAGCTAAGAATTTTAAAGATTATATATTTTTAAAAAATGAAGCTAATGTAAATGAAGCTACAAAATTTATAAAAACAAATGAATAGAACTAAAAATACTATATTAAGTTAGGCAATTCAGACCCGGATAGATGAGATCTGCGTATCCTCTCTTATGTGTGGATGCTAGCTTGTAACTTTTAAGTATGTATATTTACGTGGGAGTAAGTATGTACTGAAGTCAGAAAGCTTTCTTACAGAACCATGAAACTGAAAAAAAAGGTGAGAATACATGTGATATGAAAATGAAATGGGGAATGGGGAGGTAGAAGGATCAGTGGGGCGGGTAGGAGGAAGGGTGGAGAGATGGAGCGGGAGTCAACATCCACAACTAAGTATTATGACATGGTAGAAGGAGCATGCTACTTTGTAAGTTACTTTTTGAAAGGGAGAAAGAGAAAAGGGGGAAAAGAAAATTCAAGGAGTTATATAATCTAAGGTTACAGAGCTAATGAGTTGTGGAAACAACATTTAAAGCAGTTAACTAGACTCCACCCATCTTGCTGCTCTCTGCACTAGACTCTGCCCATCCTACTGCCCTGTGCACAGACTCCGCCCATTCTGCTGCTCTCTGAACTAGACTCCGCCCACCCAGGTGCTTTCAGCCCTATACTCCCTCCACCCAACATCCTGCTGCTTTGTACACTAGACTCCGCCCACGCTGCTGTCTCTGTAAAGCCACGGAGTAGCTCACTGTTAGGTTGCAGTAAGTACTACAGTCTCACCAACGAAGTCAACCCCAGGAAAAGAGAACTTGAAAGACAATGAATTTTCACACTACCTCCTTCATTAGAGATAATCTTCTTTTTTCAAGACTTGAAGTTTCTGGTTTCTGCTTCCTCCATTTTCTCTTCAAAGCTTTTTCTTGAAGCTCCCAGTGCACCAATGCTCTATTCTTTGACTTGTGCATCTCATGACGGCGAACCTATACAGAAGGAAAAACTGTGAAGAAGTGTTTTCAGTAGCAAAGAAGTCGCCTGCTCCTATGTAAGACCACTTACACTAGTTCACCACTTCTTGTTCCTTTCTGGTTCAGCGTGTGTGTGTGTGTGTGTGTGTGTGTGTGTGTGTGTGTGTGTGTGTGTGTGTGTCTGTGTCTGTGTGTGTGTGTGTGTGCATGCATGCATGTGTGCGCATTCATAGCTAAAACTTCCATAGGCTTCTAAGTTTCCAAAAATGATCTAAAAGAAGTACCTAGAACTTGGAGGTCTAGCCTAAAGACACAAAAATATTAACTTCTACTACAGTTGTACATACTACCAAAACCCAGTGTTCTTCAACTCACAGGTTAAAACTCATACAAGTCATCTTTGGCAAAGTACACCCCTTTCATGATAACTGCATTACTTCCAAGTCAATGATGCACTGTATAGCTCTGCAATAACTTCATGAGGAAGTGAGGTCACAGATGATGTAGATATCCAAACTCCTGAGGCAGAGGAGATAGAAGCCAGAGCCTCTAAAGAGTGGGAAGGGAAGAGTCCACTGGTGTGACTGAGGAATAAGTAGGCATTTGCCTTCACAAGTACTCTAGTGCTCAGACTTGTAAATACAAACAAAAATGGGTCATCCAATGATGTTTTAACCATGCAAACATGCAAACTACCAAAAAGACTGGTAATCAAGAATTGTAAACAGGCAAATCAGAAAAACGACGAGGCAGTACTTTATATCCACCAGGAGTATTAAAATTTTTAAAGGTGACAATAACGATGTGTATAAACTGGAAGCTCCACACATTCTGGTGGAATTTAAATCACGAAAGCACTTTGAAAAACAGTGTAGCAGTTATTCATAAAGTCCAATAGGAAGACACAAGACCTAGCTATTCTATTCCAGATATACATAACTGACTGCATACACATATGTTCACACAGAGACTTGTACATGAATATCAACAATGGTATTACTCATAATAGACAAGAAAGCATAAACCAGATGTACAACTGACTAACACATAAATCATATCTGGAATCTCTATTCAATGGAACATTATTTCACAATAGAAAGGAATGAAATAGCCAGGCAGTGGTGGTGCATGCCTTTAATCCCAGCACTCAGGAGGCAGAGGCAAGCGGATCTCTGTGAGTTCGAGGCCGGGCTGGACTGACAGCCTCCAAAACAATACAGAGAAACCCTGTCTTGTAAAAACAAAAAACAAAAAAAGAAATGAATGAAATAAAGATAAATACTATAATATGGATGAATCTTTAAAATATGCCAGAAAAAGAGGCTACATATAAGAGACCACATACTGCATTCCATCTGTAAGAGAAGTCAAGGCTAGGCACATCTACAGAGACAGAAATTAGATTAGTCACCACCATGGACAAGCTAGTCAGGGCTACACAGCACAGGCCTATCTTTAAAATAACAATAATAACAACAACAAAATGCTGAAGATATTTCTAGACAGGAAAGGCAAGCAGAGATCTATACTATAGGTCAATCTAGATAAGTGATAAGACTGTAAAAGTCTAACAGTAGCTAATAAGCCTCAGTAAAATCAGAAATTTCTTAAGATATACTTTATGTTTTATACATATGTAAACATATAAAACAAAGCTAAACAATTTCCAGAAGAGACGATGGTCTCTGATCTGGAGGTAGAAACCAGACACTAACTAAAACAGTCCAGGACTCAACTTTCAGGGTTAAACTTACCAGATCTTCAGGAGTTGCCCGGTGCACTGTCAGATCATTCACAGTATTCTTTAAAAAGAAAAAAGAATGAGCTTTTAAAATATTTATTAACAGTTACTGAGTTTTAATAGCTGAAAATTGATTTAAAGTCCTAAGACCAAAAATCCTTTTTTTAGGAACCAATATCATTAATATAATGTTAAAACAGATTATTTCTAAATGTCTTCTAGCTAATAGCCTATTTTAAGTGTTATACAGGAAATAAAGCACTCTACTATTTAAAACAGGGAATGAGTAAACTTAACTGAAGATATAATTTCCCCATGCTAGGATTCCATGAGGCAATCCTAAAGTTTTTTAACAAAGAGAGTGGTCACTACAGCATGCTGCAGAAGAAACCTTTTTTTGAGAACATAGTTTCTAACTCACTAAAACTCTAATTCTTGGAAGGAACTACAAGTTATTGCCCTTAGTATATGTACTCTTGGGGGGAGGGCAATATCCTGCTCTTCCTTCCAAGCCCAGAAACATGCCTCGCAACCCACCCAAGCCTATTACACCTGAGCTCCACCACACCACATGACAAGAGTCATACGTCCATTTCCGAGAGCTTGTTTTTACTATCCCAAGACTTACATCCCATTCTTGCCTCACTGAAGCTTTCTTCTTTACTTTCAGAGTTTTTCTTCCACCTCCCCGGGGACCAAAGCGATTCACTCTGATCAATGACATCTAGGAATAGTAACATTTTTTTTAAATACAGGCAAAAAAATAATAGTATATCATGGAGAAGGGGACATCTGGGACAAACAAAAACACTCTCAAAATATCAGAAAAAAATTAATCCCAGCAAAAGGAATAGGCTATTTCTCATTTTACAACTAATAGTAAAATGAAGCCAATAACTGCAATTAAAAAGGTTTCAAATAACAAAACTTTTTGCTTAATAAAGAATGTTAGAAATATAGAAATTATGCCCTAAAATAGAAAACTAAGATTTACATCTGTCATCAGATACAAAATTCACAACTAAGAGAGAATATGCCAGTAACTGGGTAACATGAGAAAGGAAAGGGCAGTTCTACGCTTGCTAACACTCATCCCTACCAGGCACACATTTGCTCACCTCTGAGAACCTTAAGGTCTGGTTCCACCTCTAATAAATCTTCACACAGCCCTGGATGGAGGCGATTTTGTAAATTACCAGCATTAGCCTGGCAATCAAAATTGACATGTGGGACTAAACATTATGAAAAGTTAGGGAAAGACTCACAGTCCACAGTACTTGAAAACCAAGGTTTTTACAATCTATACATATGACTGCAAAAATATGCATGACTTCTATTTCACAACCTCTTTACCCACTGTGGCAATGAAATATGAAAACATCTCTCACATTCTAAGAAACGAACTTTTGCTAAACCTCACAGCCAAAGTGAAAGCCACTTAAAAGATTGCTATCTTAGGATGTACTTGCCCTGTTTGTTTAATCTGTCTATGGAACAATCAACCTTACTTGCCTTGGATTTCCCATGTAATCAACTTTTGCAACGTAAGATAATGGCATAACTATGATCTTAAACAATGTACTCTTTCCATGCCCCGATCCAGAACAATGCATTTGTACCCTTTGCTGAAAGGAACAATTACATAGGTTGAAAGCAACCTTCTAAAATGAGAATCTATTGTGGATACTGGTTCATAGACAATGGTGTTTGTAGTAGTTTGCTTCCTGGGTCAGTTAGGATAATTTGGAGCCAGTAACATAATCCCTTATTAAAAAAAAACCAACAACAACAAAAAAAAATCTGTTAAAGATTTCTATAAAGTATACCACTTTTTCCCCCATGGTATGCTTTCTGTGCTGTACAGTAAATACTGAGCGAAGATAGACACACAGACAGACACAAGTGAGTACACAAGATACATACACACACACACACACCCCGACATGCAGACACAGGCACAGACTTACCAGACAGCCTTCAGGCAGGCACAAATTGAGACTCATGCAACAGACTGGACAGAGGACACAGGGAGCATGAAGTAGAGAATTGAAATTTGGACTTGTGCTTGGTTAAATGATTCCAAGAGGAAATGCTTTTCTTTCCTTAATGTGATCATGCATTACTGGTGACTTGAAGTCAATCACCAATACATATAATCCACACAACCTACCAAAATAATTACAGAACTTTCGGGCTCTACTTCCAACCAGCCCTCAGTGTTCATTACCCCTAACCCTCTCTCACCACAATAGAGATTAAACACAGGACCTTTCACATGCTAGACAAGTGTTCACCTTTATGATACACCGCCTTCCTCTTTCATTAAGTACTTTTAATAAAATAATCTACTGTAATAAAGATGCCTACTCCAGTGTTTCTCTAAATCTCCCTTGCTCTCTATATTGTCTTTCTCTTATTCCATTTTACTCTTTAAACATGTTGTCTAATTTCAGAGCTTACAATCCAGCAAACGAGGTAAGCCACAAATGTTTAGAAAAGGACAAGTTATTTTGTCTTTCCCAGTGGTGTTGAGCTAAGATTGACGTGCAGGTGTAACATATGCCAGGCAAGTTCCCTCACACTGAGTTCTATCTTCAGTTCAACAATTAAGACTTGTTTTCCCATGACTAGGCCCTTTTTATTTATCTATTTTTACTTTGTTTTATTAGCATATATGTATATATACATATAAATACATTAAGACTTTTGTAACATTTTCATCCATGTACATAATGTATTTCATTCTATCACTCCCCAGTTGCCCTCTCTTCTCCCCCTCCACCTGGTCTCATCCCTCTTTACAAAAATGACCTCCCTCCTACTTTCACATCTTTTTCTTTAAATCTAGAGAGAAAACATGCAATATTTTACCTTTCTGGGTCTGGTTTATCTCCATTTAACATAATTTCTAGTTCTTTTCCTACACATATGATTTGATCCCAATCCTTTTATGGTTGAATAATACTCCCTTGTGTAATCTTTACCCAGTTATCTGTTGATGGGCATCTAGGCTGAATCTATCACCTGACTACTGAGAACAGTGCCATAAGAAACATGGATGTACAGGTACGCAGTGGCATCCTTTTGTTCCTTTGGTATATACCCAGGGTGGTACAACTGGATCACAAGGTGATGGGCATCTAGGCTGAATCTATCACCTGACTACTGAGAACAGTGCCATAAGAAACATGGATGTACAGGTACGCAGTGGCATCCTTCCTTTCCTTTGGTATATACCCAGGGTGGTACAACTGGATCGCAAGGTGGTTCTTCCCATGTCTTAGTTTTGAAGAACTTCCATACTGGTTGTACTAATTACACTCCCAACAACACACAGGAGCTCCTCTCCAGCTCCCAACAACCACACTAATAATTGCTGCTGTTTTCTTGATGACAATAGTCATTCTGGTGAGACAGAATCTCAATGTAGCTTTGATTTGCACTTCACTGATGGCTGAAGATGTTGAACATTTTTATAAAAGGGGTGTGTATGCCACATGTGGGTGCCCACAGAGGCCAGAAGAGAGTGTTAGAATCCCCAAAGTTGGTGTTATGGGTGGTCATGAACCACCCTGCATGGGTGCTGGGATCCAAACTCGGTCCTCTACAAGAACAGTACATACTCGTAACGAGTAAGCCATCTCTCCAGTTCCTGAACATTTTTTCTCATGTATTTACTGGCCATGTGTACTTGTTTTGAAAACTGCCTGTTCAGTTCATTTCACCAACGATTAGTCAGCATCTTTTTCTGTTTAGTTTTTTTAAAGTTCTATGTGCTGGGTCTCACTCCCCTGCCAAATAACTGAAATACACTAGGGAAATAGACTTCAACCCATATTGTAGGCTGCCTCTTCACTCTCTGAGTTCCAACTGTGCAGCTTTTTAATAGGGCATAACATCATTTGCCAATGCTTTTATTGCACTATTTACTGACCTCTGGGGGAGAGGAAGGAGCACAAGCCACAGCACATGCATGAGGGCCAGAGAACAACTTGCAGGAGTTGTTTCCTCCTTCCATATGGGTCTCAGGGATAAACGTGGGTATTAGGTTCATCTCTAACCTGCTGAGCCATCTCATCAGCCCACATTGATCAACAGTCTTATACAGAAAGCCCTTGTCTGTGCCTGAATCTTGGGTTTCCCTGGTTTCCTCTAGGAGGGTCATGTTTTTCATTAAGGTCTCTGATCAATTTTGAACTGAAGTTTTACAAACTGAAAAAGGGATATGGTTCCAGTCTTCTACTTATGAACACAATCTTCTCAGCACCATCTGTCATCAACAATTAAGTTTTATGATGGTGATGGCAATAACAGCTGTAATGGAAGCAATGAGAGCATCAGCTAAGACAGGCTAATTACTTGCTATATGCTAGCTACTATTCTAAGCTCTTCACACATCTTAGTTTCTTTAAATCAAGAGGCTCAGCCAGGCAATGGTGGCTCACACCTTTAATCCCAGCACCAAGGAAGCAGAGGCATGTGAATCTCTTGAGTTCGAGCCCAGTCTGGTATACAGAGCTAGTTCCAGGACAGCCAGGGCTACCTACACAAAGAAACCCTGTCTCAAAACAACAACAAAAATAAAACAAATAAACAAAACAAAAAGAAGAACTTCATGAAGTGATTAATACTTTGACTCATTTTATAGATGAGAAAACTAAGGGGTAAAGAGTTAGCCAACTGTGACGTTCAACTGTATTAGACATAGCCAGCACTTAACAAGACATGGAACAGGCAAAAGTCTAAACAAATCACTGCATTTACAGACAGTTATTTTCCAACAAGGGAGGCAAAACAATTCAATTCAAAGATTATTGTTTTCTATACTCCTGTGAAAAGGTCAGGCTACTACTTCACGTAGGGTACAAAGTTAGCTTAAAATTAGTCATATATTAAATGTTAGAGCTAGAACTATAGAGATCTTAGATGAAAACATGAGTATAAATCGCTGTAACCCTCAGGTAAAGCAACAGTTTCTGAAGTATAGAGCCAAAAGCACAAGAAACCAAGATGTGGGGAGGATGGTATGGTTCATCAACCCTTTTAACTTTGTACTCAAAGGTACAATCAAGAAAATGAAAAGATAACTACTGCAGTGGCAAAAGGTATTTGCAAATCATTTACCTTGCATCTAGATTATATAGAGAAACTTATAACTTTTCAAACAATGCAATTTTAAAATGAGCATAGGTTTTAATATACATCTCCAAATAAGATACTGCAGATGATCAACAGGCACATAAGAAGATCATCAAGATAGAGGCTGGTGCCAGTCGGTGGTGGCACACGCCCTTAATCCCAGCACTCGGGAGGCAGAGGAACTCAGTAAGTTCCAGACCAGCCTGGTCTACAAAAGCTAGTTGCAGGAAAGGCTCCAAAGCTATACAAAGAAACCCTGTTTCAAGAGAAAAAAAAAAAAAAAGGTAGGGGCTGGTGAGATGGCTCAGTGGTTAAGAATCCCTGTTGCTCTTCCAGAGAATTGCAATTCAATTCCCACCACCTACATGATGGCTCACAAGCACTTGCAATTCCAGTTCCAGGGGATCTAACTCATCTCCCTAACCTCCAAAGGCAGCAGGTGGCACATGGTGCACATACAGACATGCAGGTAAAACATCCATACACATAAGAGAAACCTGTTTTAAAAACAACCAACATAATGAAATACATGTCAAAAATCATTCCAGGGTGATTTTAATTAAAAAAAAAATAAAGGACCAGAACAGACAAGACTATGGAGAAACTAGAATCTTCGGGTATTTGTTAATTGGGATGTAAATTTACAGATGCGCTTTGGAAGACTAGTAGGAAGTTGCTCAAAAATGTAAATACCATTACCACATGACCTAGAAATTCCCCTACATAAACACTCAAGAGAGTTAAATACATTAGTCCACAGAAAAATTTGTAAGTGAATGTTCATAAAAATGTTATATTTAATAGACAAAAGTGGAAACATCTCAAAATGCCCATTAACTGATGAGTATATAAATATATGTGATATAGCTATACAATGGGACATTATTTGGCAATTATAGTACTGATGTGTTACAATGTGGATTAAGTTTGAGTATATTAACTATAAGAAAACTAAGCATGAAAGCCACATATCACACGATACCATTTAATCTAAGTCCATAATAGGTATATACACAAAAATATAAAGTATGCTAGTGGTTGCCTGGGAGAAGAGAAGAGAATAGCTTTCTCCTGGGGTGGGGAGGAGAGATGAAAATGTTCTGGAATTAGCTGATGATGGCTGTACAACTATGAATGTACTGATCTAAAGGATGGATTTTTATGGCACATGAATTACATCTCAAAGCTGGTTTTTTTAAATATAGAAAATACAACACTGTTCAAAGAAAGGAAGTCTGATATATTTTAACCACTCAGATCCTCAATATACTATGTAGAAATGCAAAGCAGCAGTAAATCTGCAGACAAATCCCTAAAATTTATATTAAGAAAACCTAACAACAGTAAAAAAAAGTTAAATGTAGAGCTGAGAAGATGGCTCAGTAGGTGACTTGTTGCCTTAAAAGCACAGGACCTGAGTTCCAATCCACAGTACCATGTAAACACCAGGAAGGCATGGCAGCCCTGTAACCTCAGGGCTCCAGAGGAAGAGACAGGCAATCCCCAAACTGGTTAGTTACATTACAAAATCAGCAAATTCTGGATTCAAGGGAAAAACCCTACTCCAATATATACGGCAGAGAAAAACTGACAAAGATACCCGATATCAACCTCCGACCTGCACACCCACATATGCACACCCACATGTAGCATACACATTTGCAAAAAAAAAAAAAGTTCAATGTAAAGTGATCTGTAGACCCGCATGCAGAGCCTCACTGATGCTAATACATATGCTTCATTAATGAAGAGCCTCATCACAACCCCACAACTCCATGATCCACCCACTGTCTTAAAGAAACATGGTATAGTGGCTTAGAGTACAGCCAGGAATCAGACTGTAAGGATTCACCCTTGACCTTTATCACTGACTCTAAGATGAGACTGATTCAACTTGTAAAGCTGCTCAGACAACCCCCCACCTCCCCACCACCTCACGGATACTAAGTTTCATCTAAGTGATGATGACATCCGTGATAATTACTAATTTTCTCAAGTGAGCTGAGTAAGGCTTAGAGAATGTCATCACATTGCTCAAGGTGACATTAATAATAATGGAGAGTGTACAGAACTAACAATGTGTGACTGACTATAAAGCACGTGCTTGGAAATCACTAAAAATGGATTGGCTCCGCTTAATTCAAAACATGCACCTCTTTAAAGGGGGAAGGAATTGTTATCTCAAATTATATTGAAATGTCACATTTATTCATAAGCTTATGTCTACACTTCTCCATCTCTGCTAGGAACATTTTGTTATTAATTTTTCTGTAAGGTTTCTTTTCCACTCATTCATCCACTCCACTCAACAAATAACTTTGCAAGTACTTGCTAAGAGCCAGGCACCAAATAAAACAAAAGAGAGAAATAGTCTATGCCCTCACAGAGGTGGGGTTCTCAAAGGCCCATAACTAAACGACTTGTTAAAAAGAGAAAACACAAGCCTGGAAAGTCGATTCTTTACGGCAAGCATAATCTACAATACACATGAAAAAGGCTACCTCCTCTCCTCAATTCCCTCCACAAAGTTGAAGCTGAAGCTTAGGCGTGAACAAAAGAGGAGCACTAAGAAAACGTCTTGTGCAAGGGGGAGAGGGCATTTACAGAACTTGTGTTCAGTCTGAATAGCAACGACTTGGAAGGGTGAAAGGCTGGAGGAGTGTGTGGGAAAAGCTGAGGGTCACAGCAATGTAAGCACTATACTAAAGACCACAGGAAGCCTTGCAGGCTTTTAAGGGGGGTGGGTGGAATTCTACCAGATTTACCTTACCTAGTATGAAAACAAACTGGAGGGCAACACTGTCCCTGCCATCAATCTTACCCAGCTACAGGGACAGATCTCATTTGCTTTCCTCCTAAGATTTTAATGGAGCCCACTGCAGAGAAGAATCCAACCCCAAGGGCTCTCTTCGTGTGGCCCGACTGAATTTTCTTTCCAGTTTTCCCTCCCACACGAAGACGAAGCTCCGACCTTCTCGTGCAATGCCAATCCCGCACCGTTTGCAACAACTTCATCCTTTCGACTCCCAATCCCAAACCTGCCCAACTCTCAAGCGGCCCTTCCTCAGAAACCCTGTCCCAACCGCTCAGCTTCAAGGACACGCCCTGTCCCAACACCCCGAGTGCTTTGCCAGTCCCTGAAAAGACAATAACACCTGGAACACCAGACAGGCAGCCTCCGGGTTTCTACCGCCAGCCGGGCGCCAGGACGAGTCGCGCATGCGCACGGCCGCCCCGCAGAGGACGCACCAGGCACTACCCGGAAACGCGCTCTGGCAGGAGGGCAGCCGTGCGGCCCTGGGTGGAGGGGCCGCCCTCCCGCCGCCAGCCGCTTCTCCCCGCCTGCTGCGCGGACCTCAGGCCTGCCCCCCTTCACCCAACCTGCCTTGCCGCTGGCCGACTGCCGCCTCCACCCCGACTAAAAACTTCAGCCTCCAGAACCTCAGAGCCCGCCACAGGGGAACGCGGAAAGTGGGCTTCCGGGATGTTGCCAGGGTTACCAGAGCCCCGCCCCCACGCCTTTGTGTATATCCGGCGAGCCCCAACTAAGCGTCCCTGAACCGGTCCCTGCGGACGCCTGGGACCGTGTGTTTTCTTGTCCTGTTTCCATCCGGAGCGCAATCTGCGGTTCTCCCCGAAAGGGCTGAAGGGCGCGCGGGTCATAAGCCTCGAGAAGTCTCCAAAAGAAACGTCCTGCACACCAGGCCCCGCATACGGCACTTAACTTGTCTTCACTAATGTTAATTTACTTAAAATTATCGCTTACCACCTACCCTTGTGCCAGACACGCTATGTTCCCTAGGAGCTAAAAAACAGACCTGGCGCGCAGGAAGTTTACAGCACCACAGCTGAAAACTATTAATGACAGAAATGGGTACGGTGGAAATAGTGGCAAAAAAAAAAAAAAAAGAACAGTACAGGAATGTTTTAATTTCTCAGGAAAGCAGAAATTGAAGGACGAGTAGACTATCAAAGAAGAAAGAGCGTTTCTACCGGTGTATGTCAAATTGCAATGGATAAACAGTTGAGGGAGCTTGGCGGCTGTGCTTGGTTGGCTGGAGTCTGGATGAGCATAACTTCGCTGATCATGTTAAAGGATTTACAATGAGCTTCTTATTCTTGACAACTTCCTTTGTAGCCCCTGACCTTCTGGTGTTAAGAAAGAGCTGCGTACACATGGATCAGCAGGTGTATGCTCAGAGTCATCTAGGTTCCAGCACTGCCTTCTGAGTCTCCACTCTGATTTGATGTGGACGAGTTAGTCAACTTAATCATCCCTTTCCCTCCGACTTGCTGTGGTCACCTGGCAAGTT